GCCTGAGCAAGAGCGAAACAGCGTCTCTATCAAAAATAGAAAAAATTAGCCAAGTGTCATGGCCGTGCTCCTATAGTCCCAGCTTCTCATGAGGCTGAGGCAGGAGGATCGCTTAAGCCCAGGAGTTTGAGGTTGCAGTAAGCTGTGATGATGCCATTGCACTCTACCTAGGGTGACAGAGTGAGCCTCTGTCTCAAAAAAAAAAAAAAAGTAACTTGAAATGGATCATAAACTTAAATGTAAGAGCTAAAGATATAAAACTTCTAGAAGAAAACATATGAGAAAATGTTTGTGACCTGCATTTAGACCAGTAATGCTTAAATGGAAAACAAAAACCTCAAGCCATAAAAGAAATAACTAATATGCTGGACTTCATCAAAATTAAAAACCATGCTCTATGAAAGACATTCGCAAGAAAAATGAAAAGACAAGTCACAGATTGAAAGCAAACATTTGCAAAGCACATATCTGATAATTGTATGCATTCTCAATCGAGGTGATATCACCCTCAAGAAGTCAAACATTTATTCTTGGGGGCGGTAAAACCCTTAGATGTTACAATGGTGTGTGTTCCTCCAAAGGGCCACAGTAAAAAATAGATACACAGTTAAAATATATCTGTGGTGTTAAGTCTCATGGAGGGGGAGACATTAGGAAAAAAATACCTAAAATGTCTCTTGGGGGTAGCAATATTTTAAAATGCATATAGAAATACTGGCTTGTATCTAGAATATATAAAACCTCTTGTACAACATGCCAGTAAGACAAAGAATCCAATATTTTTAAAAATTGGGCAAAAATCTGAACAGATACTACACCAAGGAAGACACCTGAGTGGCAAATACACACATGAAAAGATGCTCAACATCAGTGGTCATTAAAGAAGTGCAAATAAAGCCACAGTGAGGTGATACTATGCGCATGCGAGAACGACTAAAATTGGAAGACTGACAACCCAAGCAGCGGTGAGGATGCGGAACTCTCCTGGAAAACATTTTGTCAGTCGCTGATGAAGTTATACACACTCCCCTTCGAGGCCCGGCAGTGCCACTCCTAGGTAATTTCCCGAGAGAAATGAAAGTGCGTGTCCACACAGAGCCCTGCAGTCACATGATCTCCGCAGCACTGTCTACACCAGCCCACGAGCCAGTGGGGGTGGGATGGAATGCCGTTTAGCAATAAAGAGAAGGAGCCGCGGTCTGTGCGGGCAGAATGAGGGTCAGAGGCACGTGGCACATGAAAGACGCCAGACTCAATGTGCATGAGTCCACTTACATGATATTCTAGAAAAGGCGGAACTGTAAGAGCAGGAATCAGAGGAGCGGCTGCCGGCAACTGGGGCTGGGGAAAGGGGACGGAGGGAAAGGGGACGGAGGGAAAGGGGACGGAGGGGAAAGGGGACGGAGGGGAAAGGGGACGGAGGGGAAAGGGGAACGTTTTTTGGTTACGGGAAACGTCTTATCTCTCGGCTGTGGCTGTGACATGACTGTATACGTTGTCAAAACTCATCAAACTCTACACTTTTTTAAAGTGATTTTTACTGTATGTAAATTATGCCTCAATAAACCTGACAAAATAAAACAAAAATTTAAGGACCGCTAACTACGTGCCAGGCCCCGAGCCGATGCTATTCTGGTGAAACGTGCAGTCGCTTAGTGATTTATTCCGCGTGACTCCAAGACCAGAACGGAAGCGGGTGAGTGGGGAAGGGCGAGGCAGAGGCCGCCGCGGCCGGCCGCGGGAGCTAACCCCCCCACCCAGGGAGCGCTGGCGGCACCCAGGCCGAGATGCGGCCCGCACTCCTCTTTCCCTGAAGTGTCGCCTCCACAGCAGGACAGGCGCTGCCCGGCGGGGGTTCAGAAATACAGCGCCTCACACCCCAGCTCGGGCTGAGTCACCATCTGCTCTTCAGCCAGACAGCAAGATGGCTCCCGTGGTGCGGTCCCCAGAGGCATTCCTGTATGCCGTCCCTAAGTCCCCAGACAGACACCTGCCGTTCAAGCCGCAGTCTGAGAAGCTCTGGTCTGGCCACAAGCTCACGTCCACGTCCAGCCCCATGTGAGCTAGGCGATGACCAAGAGCCAGCTGTGCGTGTCCCCAAGCCCAGGCATGCCAGCGTTCCTTAGCGAGTTTCCGTGACACTAATTAAACATCATTGAACCGAGGAGGGGGGAAAATTGAAACTAATTTGAAAGTTTGCAGAAGACTCTATAACGGTGATTTGCTTTCAAAATAGTTGTGGAAACGGTGCTGGGCAAGACAGCTGTAAACACTAGGAGGAACTATAGAAATCCAGGCTGTGTGTTCAGATTGTGTCATGGTGTCTCTGTCACTCAGCCTTTAAAACATTGTAATTGGTCACAGCCGACCCGTCCGGTGGATGTGCTTTACGAAAGGAAGACAACAGCGTGTTGTCACTGCGATGAAATTCACCTCGCTGCGCCCGTCCAAGGGGATTTAACGGTGGAATTCGGGTCTGTGACTTTGTAGTCGGGTGCCAGGACTCAGACCCAACCAGCAGGACCCAGGCAGGGGCCTCCTTTGGCACGACCCCAGGCTTCGGGGCTCCAGCCTCCTCCTCCCTTCCTTCCCAGCCCCCGACTCCCTCCCTCCCACCCACTGCCCCTCTGCCCCACCCCTGTCCTCCCCCCAGGGGGGGACGGACAGGGGACCCAAGCCCAGGAGGCTACACGACAGGGCCCAGGGCTCGGAGCTGTGAAGGGAACAAACCACGGCCCCTTGAGCCCTCTGCTGCGGCCTGCAGCCTGCGTCCCCTGCAGTCCTCTCGCCACAGTCTAACCGCTGTTAGGTCAGTAAGAGTTGTGACCAGTGTGTTCGTGTCTGGCTGCTGTCACAAAGGGCCACACACTTAGGGGCTTAAAACGGCAGAAAGTTGCTCTTCCGCTTCTGGAGGCTCGAAGTCAGGGTGTGGGCAAGACCACACTCCTCCGCGGCCGTGTGCAGCACCACTCCTCATCCCTTCTGGCTCCTCGGCCGCCCCCAAGTTCTGGCAAGTTCCTTGGCCTGTGCACTCAGCAGGCCTTTGTCTCCGTTCTCCCATCACCCTCTCTCCTGTATGCTGTGTGTCTTCTCCCTTTCTGTCGCCTGTCAGGTGCCTGTCATCGGCTTTAGGGCCCACTCTGGAGCAGGTGTGATGAGCTCTGGAGACCCTAGCCTTAATTACATCTGCTAAGACCCTCAGTCTAGTAAGGTCGCTTCTGAGGGTGACAAGGTCAGGGTGGACATACCTTTGGAGGCCACTGTTTTATCACCCCAGGCTCCACCTTTGGTGGACGGCCCGAAGGGACCAGCTGCTCCCTCCTGGCCTGCCACCTTTCCCTACCCCAGCCAATCAGGGAGAAGCTCCACCTGTTACGAACCGGAGCTCCAGCCGTTATCTAAGCACAGCTGAGCTCTCCGTTTCTTAAGGGCAGGAGGGCCTGGTCTTAGGCCACACAACTTCTGGATCCCCACTCCCTGAAGGCGAGGGCTCTGTCCTTACTCACCCCTCCGGATCCCAGCATGCCCTCAAACCACCGGAACAGGCCAAGGCCCCTTCAGAGGCGAAGCTGCTGCACAAAGCAGGGAAAAGCGGGTTCTCCGCCTCCAGGGCTTCCCGGGCAGGGGCGGAACTTCCTCGGAGACGCAGACCACCCCCCAGCCCAGCCTGGACTGCAGTCCGCACCCACCTGTCTCCTCAGTTCTCACACGTGCTCTTATTGTACCCCCGGCCCCAGCCGCCCCCTCCCGGGTGACAACGCGTCAGACCCAGAGCTGTCTGTCTCTGGAGTCCGTTGGTAAAGCACCTTCCTTTGCCAGAGACATGCATCAGTGCGGGCTTCAAGGTGTCCCCAGAGGCCCCCCACCCCGCCAGCCACCCACCGCAGCCACCCCTGCAAAGCAGCGCCATGTCTCCTCCAGTGACAGAGGCGTGGGGACGGAAGGGTTCCGGTGTGACGAGAAATGCTCTTTCCTCAGTGGCCACTTTGGCACACAGGTGGGTTTTCAGGAGAGCCCAGAGAGAGTTTGTTACAGTGCAAAAGCACCTGGGAAAGCAGCTGCTGTCTTGCCACCTGCCAATCCCTACCAAAAAGGCAGGGAGAACAGCAGCAGCTACAGTCTGGACACCACCTACACGGCTGAGTAGAATGACCACAACCAGGCAGTGAAACGCGAGGCGGCTGTGCACAAATGAACACACTCTTGCTGTAAGTCATCAAGTTATCTGGTTAAATGAAAGCAAAGCACAGCGCCACACGCGGAGTGTCCTGGGTGTCCCCAGAATGGTGGCGTACATTTACCTGCCTGTGTCTATTCATGAAAAGATTATTCTACCAGTGCTTTGTGCACTGGTAAAAATGTGTGACTCTAGGGAAGGGGATTAGAACTGGAAGGAGGTTTGCTTTCCACCCCTGTACTGTCTGACATCTTTTTTAACTAAAGAGTTTTTTTTAAAAATAAACATTTTTTTGTTTAGGAATAATTTTTTTTTTTTTTTTGAGACAGAGTCTCACTTTGTTGCCTAGGCTAGAGTGAGTGCCGTGGCGTCAGCCTAGCTCACAGCAACCTCAAACTCCTGGGCTCAAGCAATCCTCCTGCCTCAGCCTCCTGAGTAGCTGGGACTACAGGCATGCGCCACCATGCCCGGCTAATTTTTTCTATATATATTAGTTGGCCAATTAATTTCTTTCTATTTATAGTAGAGACGGGGTCTCGCTCTTGCTCAGGCTGGTTTCGAACTCCTGACCTCGAGCAATCTGCCCGCCTCAGCCTCCCAGAGAGCTAGAATTACAGGCGTGAGCCACCGCGCCCGGCCTGGAATAATTTTAGATTTGCACAAGAGTTGCAAAGATAATAGTTCCCATATACCCTAATACTAACGCCTTGTGTAACTCTGGGACATTAGTCAAATTGGAAAAACTAACAATGGGACAATCCTATTAACTATAGACTTTATCTAGATTCACTAGTTTTTACACAATGTCTTTTTTCTGTTCCAGGATCCCACATTTCATGCAGTCGTGGCTCCAGCCTGTGAGTTTCTCAGCTTTGCTCCTTCTTCATGGCCTTGATCCCTGAAGGAAAGTCGGAGGCAGGAGGCTGGACGTCCAGTTGCAGCCCGCCCCTGGTTTTGCTCCCTGGGGCCGCCGTGTTGCCACTCCCGGCCTGAGTTTTCTCGTTGGCGAGGAAGGGCTCATGCCAGCAGCTCCCTGCTTTCCCTGGCAGGTACGTGAGAGCTTTGAGAAGGCTGAGTTCGGGGCGCATGACCGAGGGCCATCCAGCCGATCCTCAAAATCCCGTCCCCTGTACAGGGACTGTGAGTGCCTTTCCGGTCCTGGGCACCCTCGTCTGCATAAAGGACTCTCTTTCAGGCTTCAGCAGGCTTGAAAGACCCCAGCCTGCCTGCCACCTCCTTTCTACTCCCAAGGTGCCAAGCAGAAGCCAAATAAAGTAGGGGATGCCCACCTCCTGCAACTAACCGGGTGATGGAAGTTGGGGGGTGGGCACAGAGAGCAGGGTGTCCCCCAGTGCCCGCCCTTCCTCTGAGCAAGACTATGGCTGGGAGTTCATTCCACAGCTCTGGAAATGAGGCCTGAGTTGACCCTGGGGTCAGTTAGCACAGTCATCTCAGTTAGCACGGCGAAGAAGTTCCCCACCAAGGACTGGCCCCGGTACAGCCCTCGCGCAGGATTCCACCCTGCCCACCACCCCACCGCGTTGCCATCCTCCTGGGCTGGGGCGGAAGCAGGGACCACTGCAAGGGACCCTCCTTCTCCTGCACACTGTGTTCTGCTGCTCAGACCCGTTCTCTCAGGTGTTGGCCCAGAGCTCCCACCCACCCCCTCTGGAAATCCAAGGCCCCCACGCTGCCTCCTGCAGGCAGCCCAATCGACCAGACGCAGGCTCCAGAAAGGCTCTGGATTCCCTTGCACCTGCGTTTGAACCCGGCTCCATTATGGCTTAGCCAAGACACCCTGGATAAATTACTTTGTAAAACAGAGGTACCAGGACATACCACTTTGGGAATGTCACAAAAACTAGCTGAATGTTTGTAAAGCACTTGGCCTTTGGCAAATGTTCCGAAAGTAGGGGATGGTAGTCTCCCAGCCTCCTGGCCCTTTCAGCCAGAACGTGCAGAGTAGCACAGCGTCAGTTCCGTGTCATTCTCTCCTTCATTCATTCAGCATGGAGATCCTGTGGCCAGCCAGAATCTGAGACCCAGCGCTAAGTGGCCGCAACAGGGCTGCTCCCGCGGAGCTTGCAACCCGGTGTGAGGGCCAGACGGCCGCCGAATAGTCACCTGGGTGGAAAGCAGCAGCTGGGAGAGGTACCATGTGGCCCTGAGAGCCCAGCTTGGAGCTTGATGGAGTCTGGGGCTCAGGGAGGGCTTCCTGGCGGCAGGGTGCCCGAGCGCGCCCGCGTGCCCCCGAGGGATGGTGAGGGGTGAGGGGTGTGGGCTGGGCAGACGGTGCATCCCAGCTCCTGGAGGAAGACCAGAGGACTGAACCCGAGGGAGGGGACAGCGCGGGAGGGAAAGAGGCTGGCGGTGGGCAGTGGCCATCCGTGGCCAGGCGAGCATCGGGAAAGGTGAGCGGGGAAGCCGGGAAGCGCTGTGTTTAGGCCGGGGGAAAAGGAGGCCTTTGGGAGGTGAGCAGCCCCTGGCTTGTGTCCGGAGCATTCTACCCCCATCCCCCCCAGCTGCTGCCGGAGGGGAGTCCCCTGCTCCCTATTCATTACCTGGCATAACTAATTGCCTGGTGACATTTCCCATATTATAGACAAATGTGAATTATGGGCCCAGCTGGTCCCCTTCTCGTCACCAGGAATCGGTTGATAAATATGTTTATTCGAGGTCAGCCTGGCCTCATCCATTAGAAATATTGTTTTTCTAAACATTACATTGATTTAATTTAACTCTAATCAATTTAAAATGGTTCTGACAATTAACAAAAGCTTCAAATATGACCTTAAAGTAATAGGATTCATTAGCTATGTTTAGGATTAAACTTACCCTAATAGGGCGATTTTTCTTCCGAGGGTATTTGGTAAGCGACTAGTGGTCAGTCAAAATGAAATCAATTATTATAAATTATACAGTTAAAGTTGATTATGTATCCCCTGCTAATTTGTATAAATAAGGGTCTCTGACAATGGGAGTAATTTATTAATAACTATCTCTGCCCCAGCCCGGTATCACACTTCATGTTCCAGCTGCCAGGGCATCTGTAGCCCGCGAGGTATTATTTTCCAGGGCTGCCCTCCATGTATGCTAATTAAACCCATAATTAATTGCAACAGTTATAGTTAAAGACACAATGCTGGCGCCCTTTGCCCTATTATTCATGACAGTCGACTCATTCAAAAGGCAATCTGATCAAAAATTCATATGCTAGCTCGGGCGCCCGAGAGCAAGGCGATCCCCACGACAGCGCCCTACGAAGGCGCCTGCGCAGCCGGGAGGGGCGGCCCAGCCTGCGTCCGCGCGCCTTTCTGGGTTTCCCACGCCGCCACCACGTGCCAAAGCCCCGGCGGAAGGACGTAGAGCCTAGCCTGGCTGGACAGGATGTCTGGGCCAGAACGCATGCATTGCTGGCCCACACAGTGCTTTCAAACGATGAAAAAGGTCGCTAAAGTTTTACAAACCAGGGACTCTCACTTCTCCTGGAAATTTCTAACTTTGTTTCAAAAATCAGAATATCTCGACGTGCTTCTCCCCCTGCCTTACCCACACCCACCCTCCTCCTTCCCTGGTGCACCGGCCTGGTCCCTTTAGGCACACGTGAGAGTCCTGGTCTAGACACTTCATGTCACAGGGAGGGACTGAGGCCCGCAGAAAGACGGGCTTGCCGAGGGGCACAGAGTGGCGCGGCTTGCGTGCGGCTGGCTTCACAGAGCACCCAGGTCAAACTGGGGGCACAAGGGGGGCGGGTCTGCCCATGAAGGGCCCCCGTCCCTGCTACGCGCTGGCCAAGGCCTGGCGACAAGGGCCTGTCCAAGAGAGCCAGAGCTCGGGGCTCAAGGGTCCCGAGACAGTGGGGCGCGGCGGCCCAGCCCCGCCGAGCGGATGTCTGCCGTTGGAAGCAGCAGGCTGGGGGCGGCTGACCCTGAGTCTTTGGGTCGGGCTGGGCAAGGGTGAGGGAAATTCTTCTGTGGCACATCAGGAGAAAATGGGACCAAAAAAGTCCTGACGCCCCACACAGCACGGCACAAAAGAACATTCAGTTTGGAAAAGCACGTGACGATGGCAGGGCCCACGCTGAGGAGACAGGGACGGTGTGGCTTTCGCCCTCTGGGGGCCCCACTGCTGGGGCTGACCAGATGCAGACAGAGCACTGCACATCCAGGGCCTGCAGGTGTCTGGGGCAGTGGTCACCGTGGGGACGAGGGGGCGCCGGCTCTAGAGGTGAGCCGGGCCTCCTCCGCACCAGGGAAGGGCCTCAGAGCGCGCTTGTGCAGGGAAAGCCTTGCAGGCAGAGGCAGGACGCAGGGGGTCGCGAGGAGGGGCGGGAGGGGCGCTGCAGGCCCGGGCCTGGGAGCCTGTCGGCCAGCCGGGGCAGCCGAGCAGTGGCGCGGGCCAGTCGGCGGCAGAGACAGGTCCTTCTGGCTGCACCTGCGCTCTGCGGCCACCACCTGCGCCGGGCTTTGGAACCCTTACAGCCCAAGAGGCCCGAGGAAGGCCAGCCTCTGGGCCACCGGTGCCCTGCGACTCAGGAAGGCCCCAAGTGCACGGCAGGAAGAGGCCGCCCAGGGACGCCTGCTGGGCGCAGACCAAGCACCAGCCCCCTCTGGGCCCCCTCTGGGCCTCCGGCGGCCCTGCGGACAGCGCCCCAGGGTGAAAGGCCCCGCCCGGCAGGGCGTCCCACTCTGGGCTCTAACCCAGCTCTGCCTCCAGCTCAGCAGGTGTCCCGGGCGCAGCCGCTCCTCTGGAGGCTGCGGGCTCTCCCATTGGAGGGCGAAGGGAAGGGCTGAGCGGGCCTGAGGGGCGGAGGGGAGGCTGGCAGGGGCGAGGGGTGGGAGTTTGAATACAGTGCAGGCTCAGGCCCCGCACACCAGGCGGCCCTCCCAGGCGGGCGATGGCGCACTCTCTGGGCACACGGAGCACATGACAGGCACAGGAGACACCGAGGCAGCATCAGACCCCCACCTGCCGAGCGGCGTTGACCCCGGCAACGGCTCCCCACCTGAGGGGACAGTGCTGGGGGCCGGCAGGCATCTCCAGAGACAGCAGACGCAGGTGGGACCCGGGGCGTCATCTCGGGCCAGCACCCCGTGCCCCCCTGTTTCAGAGCCAGGGCCAGCCCCGCGGAGCCAGGCGGTGCTGGGCCCAAGCCCCACAGGCGCTGCCGGCCTCAGCGTCCTCCTGAGGGAGCAGGAGCGAGTCTCGCGAGCGGGACAGCACGCAAGGAACCGCCTGTCCCAGGCTGATGCTCGCCAGGCGGAGGCAGCCCGGGAGCAGACTCCGGCTGGGGCGACAGCTGTGCTTCTCGCTTGTCAAGACCCTGTGGCTTAGGCCGGGCGCTGTGGCTCACGCCTGTAATCCTAGATCTTGGGAGGCCAAGGCGGGCGGATTGCTCAAGGTCAGGAGTTCAAAACCAGCCTGAGCAAGAGCGAGACCCCGTCTCTACTATAAATAGAAAGAAATTAATTGGCCAACTGATATATATATAAAAAATTAGCCGGGCATGGTGGCGCATGCCTGTAGTCCCAGCTACCCGGGAGGCTGAGGCAGAAGGATTGCTTGAGCCCAGGAGTTTGAGGTTGCTGTGAGCTAGGCTGACGCCACGGCACTCACTCTAGCCTGGGCAACAAAGCGAGACTCTGTCTCAAAAAAAAAAAAAAAAAAAGACCCTGTGGCCGCAGGGCTCTGTGCTGGCTCTCCGTCCCCAACACCACAGAGCCACTGTGCCCACCAGCGCCACAAGCCAAGCCCACCGTGCCTCCTCCGCCCTCCCGCGCGGCCGGGACTGTCCCCCTGCCGCCCTTTGTCTTTTTTCGGAGCACCCCTCTGTCCGGGCTGGGGAAGAGCGCGGCGATGGCCTGCAGAGGGTGGGGCCGCGGCCTCTCCTCTCCGCCCCTCCGCGGAGGGCCCTGGCCTGCTGCCCCGTCCCGCCCGGCCGCGCCGCGGGAGACACCATCGCACCAGTGTGGTTAACAAGCAGCTCCGTCGGGATCTTCCAGCTCCTTTGGCCTCAGTTTCTCCACCCGTAAAATAAAACGCTCCATTCTGCCCACTCGGAGGGTGAGGTTGACGAGTGGAAAATGTTTTCTAGGCGGCGCCAGGGAGAGCTGGAGGGCGATCCTGGCAGTCTGTTTTATACCAAACACCACGAAACAGTCCTCCGCTTCCTTCCCCACCTCAGCTGCCTCAGTCTCCCCAGCGTGATCCTGATGGTGTACACCATATGCCACCCCCTGGGGACCCCCGCCCCCCAGAATGGTCCTTCTGGTCTGGGACAGCTCCTGTTTCGACTGCAGCCACCGGCAGCACCCCAGCGCCCGCCAGCCCCACCCCTTGATGTGCTGAGGTCTTGGTGGCCTCGCCCTCCATGCCAGCTGCAGACCCTCCTTCCCTGGGGCCATAGAAGCCCCTGATCTCCGCGGGCCAGCCGCAGCCCCTGCAGACAGACATGGTCTTTTTCTTCCCAGGATGGCCAGGAAATGGGCTCGTCTCTCCTTTCAAAACTGGTGAAAATCCACTTGGGCTTTTATCGTGCTAAATGACCTCCAAAATGACCACCGCACACCCCCAAACATCCCAACAGGATTTGATTGACAGCTCACAAGCTTTCTCATACCCTTTATCTCCCTCTGATAAATGGCCCCTGCCTGGCCGCCCTCCCTGCCCGCCCTGCCATTCAGTCAACTGCTGGTTTTAATTTGAATAGTACTGACAAGAGAAAAACAAAAACATAAAAATCATCTGCTGTCACTGTCATCTCTGGACTCAGTGAAGTCCCCACTGACAAACGTTTCAGTACACGCACAAATCTTTTCATAAACAAAATTAGATCCACTATGATACCAAGTTTTTTGGTTTTTTTTTTTTGGCATATTATGGGGGTACAGAATACCAAGTTTTTATAACTCACTTTTTTCACCTAATATATCATGAACCTTTGCTCATGTCCTTAAAAAATGATGTTCTAGAAGAACTGTCAATAGCTGCACAGCACTCTAGGGTCCAGCTAAACCGTACTTTATCAAGGCCCTGCACATTTAAGTTTTGCAAGTTTGGCGCTGTTACAAACAATGCTGCCTGGAGTCTTTTACAGCTAATCTTGGGCACAGCTGTGATCATTATTTCCTTAGAAAAATTTCCTAGCGATAGAATTGCTGGGTACAAGGTATGCACAATATTAAGACTTTTGAAAAACCAGCACACATGTATTGAGCACACAAGTGACTCACAATTTGTGTGCAATTGTTGGGGGCAGGGGCTGAGAAGGAATCGAAGCAAGAGAAGTCCGCGGTCTGAGGACGGGTCTGTGCACACACCCGCCCCAGACACCGCCGGAAGTGCCATGTGGAGCAGGGGCTTATAAAGCACCGCGCCCCCGAGTGTCAGGGCAGGACAGGACAGCAGAGACAACCCCCTGTGTGATTGATGGAGAAACTGAGGCTCAGAGAGAGACCACCAAGGAAGGTGTCACCCGCAGCAGCAACCTGCAGGCGCACTGGAACCTTTCCAGCAGGCCGGGCGCTTTCTTCGACGTGAGCCCTGAGGACACGCACAGCCGACTTCGTCCAGGCAACAGCGGCGGCAGCAACACGCAGGAGCCCCGTGACGTGCCAGGTGCTGGTCCAAGCGGGTCCATTGTCACTTAATTCACCCACGACGCGAGCGGAGGTGGGCACTATCTATGGCTTTGTAAGAGATGCTCGCTGTCTCACAAAAAGCAGTTTGTGCAAGTTTGAATCCAACACAACCCTTTTCGGGATTTCCTGAAGGAAAAAAGTCTTGACAATGGCAGGGGCTGGGGCAGTGGTTGTCACACTTCAGTGTGTGAAAAAAATTCAAAATGCAGATTCCAGGGCCCTGCGCTGAGAGTGTGACGCTGTGGGTTTGCATGGGAACTCGGAGCCTGCATTCCTACAGCCCCCGACGTCTCGGACACCGGCGGTCCGAAGGCTGGTCTTTGGGAAACGTTGATGAGCGTGGGGTTGGTTTTCTACTGGGACCCTGACAAAGCAAGCTGCCAGCGGATACGAGGCCTGCACTGAGACACGGGCCAGCGAAGGGACCTACTGTCCCCCACGGGGCTAGGGGACGGCGCTAGCCTCTCTCCTCACCGGGCTAGGGCACAATGTTAGCCTCTCCCCCCCACAAGACTAGGGGATGGCGATAGCCTCTCCGAGCCCCATGGGGCTAGGGCACGGTGCTAGCCTCTCCCCCACGGGGCTAGGGCACGGTGCGAGCCTCTCCCCCACGGGGCTAGGGCACGGTGCTAGCCTCCCCCCCACGGGGCTAGGGCACGGTGCCAGCCTCCCCCCCACGGGGCTAGGGCAGGGTGCGAGCCTCTCCCCCACGGGGCTAGGGCACGGTGCTAGCCTCTCCCCCACGGGGCTAGGGCACGGTGCCAGCCTCTCCCCCACGGGGCTAGGGCACGGTGCTAGCCTCTCCCCCACGGGGCTAGGGCACGGTGCTAGCCTCTCCCCCACGGGGCTAGGGCATGGTGCTATCCTCCCCCCCACGGGGCTAGGGCACGGTGCTAGCCTCTCCCCCACGGGGCTAGGGCAGGGTGCGAGCCTCCCCCCCACGGGGCTAGGGCAGGGTGGGAATCTCTCCCCCAGGGAGCCCGGGCGGCCCAGCAGAGGGCGCGACTCCCTCTCCACTCCGAGCGCAACAGGAGCCGGCGCTGCGGGCGGGCGGGTGCAAGGCGGAGCGGACGGCCAGCAGGGACATCATGAGCGGAAATGGCCGGCACTGACCAGCAGTCCTGCAGTGACGTAACGGAGGCTTCGGCCTTCCGGGACGCACGGTGGAATCTGGCGTGCGGCCCCGCCTGCCACATCTGCTTGCAGGAGTCGCCCGCCGCCGCCGAGCCCGGGCACGGCAAGGCCCGCGCGGACCAGCAGGTGGCGCTGCCGCGCGGACGGCGCCGAGCCGCCTAGGCCGGCACACACTGCGGACGCCGGACTCGGACTGGGGAGCGGGCGGACAGACGGACTCGGACTGGGGAGCGGGCGGACAGACGGACTCGGACTGGGGAGCGGGCGGACAGACGGACTGGCCTCGCGACCGGCCCCTCAGGGTGTGGCCTCCGTGCCGCCGCCGCCGCCGCGCCGCCGCCTGCGTCACCGCGCACTCGGTCGGGCGCGTCACCGCGTGGTTTCGTTCGGTTCCTTGTGAGGGAAGCTCGGCCCCGCTTCTGAGAGGAAAGTTACCTGGCCCTAACCCTCTGGTGCCTTCTCAACGGAAATGGGAACAGTGACCTCACTCTGGCCACAGGGACAGCAGTGCATGGCGCGGCTTCTGCGCTGAGTTCTGACACTCCCCGCCTTCACTCCCGGCGTCCGAGCACCTGCTCTGTGCGCGGATGGCGGCCGAGGCCGGAGGGGCCGCTCGGGGGGTCCGTCCGCGTGGAGAAAATGAAAGGCGTGGAAAAGCCCCGCAGGTGTGTCGAGACTACGTCAGTAGTCTGCCTCAGGGCTGGCACCATGGCCTACAAGAGCGGTTGCTAGATTTTCAGGGATTTCATGAGCCCATTCTTAAATTATCCATTTTTAACATTCAATTACATAACTTACCATGAATTAAGTCATATTTAAAACAAAGGTAATACTTAAAACTCATCACTTCCTAATTATTTTGCATTTTACAGTTATCTGAGCCAGGGATAAGCAAATTGTTTCTGTAAAGGGCCAGATAATAAACACTTTAGACTGTGCGAGCTACGTGATTTCTGTTGCAACTGTTTGACTCTGCCATTGTAGCACAAAAGCAGCCATTGATATGCTACAGGTGGAGCATACCTGATCCGAAAATCCGAAATCCAAATTGCTCCAAAAGCTGAAACTTTTTGAGCAACAATATTACACTGAAACCCAAAACACTCCTGGTCCTGAGCATTTCAGGTAAGAAATACTTAACCTATACTTAAATACATAGTCATGACTGTGTTCCAATAAAATGTTATTTACAGAAACAGGTGGTGGGCTGGGTTTGGTCCCCAAGCTGCAATTTGCCAACCCTTGGTCTGTGCTTGGGTATTTATGTCTACCATGTCTGCATGGTGGAAATGCTATATACTGCACATTCATCCTGCCATGCATCTCTTTCCAAGTCCACCTTCTGCATTGTCCCCTTGGTGGCTTGCAGTAATGGGGACATTTACACTACAAAGTTGGCAGAAGCTACAAATCAGGGCTGCCCCCTGCATCCCCAGACAGCTGGTTGTTAAACATGTGCCAGCACACCACCGGCTAATGTGGTCTGCAAAGGCCTCTTTGGGGAGGTGACCCCTAAACAGAAACCTGAAACTGCACTTAGTCCTTCTGTCCTGCAACAGTTCATCCCACCCACAATGGGCAAGCTGCAGGGCACAGTTTGGAAATACAGACAGAACCGTCTAAAGTTCGCAGAGATGGCCAGAGACAGTCAAACGCACATTTGTTTAAAATGCATACATGCCAATAACGTGACCCACACATGAGCAGCCCATTGAGCAGCTCTTCCTCTCCGAAGCCAATCAGAAGGCCCAGTAAGCACCGTGCGTCATGGCCCAAGGCCCGACTGCATTTGTTCCACAGGCTGGTGAGACCTGCCTGCCACCCCACAGAATGTGCAGGATTAGAGGTTCCCAGGTCACTTCCAATGTCTCACAAAGCTGAGGAGGGACAGGCAGGAGGAGGAAGACATCCCTGGCAAAGTCAACTTCCTCGCCAACCTGTCAAACCCTAGTGTACCTTCAAACTACTCACTTTGGAATAGGCAATATTTAAAACAGATTTGGATGTTATTTGTAAGGTGATAATTTCATACATGAAATTGAAGAGCTTTCATAAACTCCCAGAAAAGTGGTAGGGTGAAAAGAGTGGCTGCAACTTGCAAATTTCAGTTGTGCTTCTGTGGTAAGGGCCACTCGGTGATCATCCTATTCTTATGGTTTCCTGTTCAGTCTTTGCCCACCTAATTACTCTAATTATTCAGGAACTAACTGCCCCCCTTAATAAAATTCAGCACTGCAACACAGTCTACCAAAGTCAGCAACCCCCACAGACCTGCCTGCCCACAACTCAGTGCAAGGAGGGGCTTGAAGGGCTGCACAGGACACAGTCCCTTTCCAAGAACTCTCTCCTCTCCGCACAGTCAACCTGATGGTGTTTCCTTTTATATGACATCTAAAGTTCATGACATCTGAAGTTTATCCACACTTTGCAACATTTTCTAAAGAAAGAGAATAGCATCTTCATCACACCCCTTTAAGGGCATCTTTAAGTCCTCTTCACAAATAGTGAAATTTTCATCCTGCTTCCAAATCCCTTCTCCAGCCTCCAGAACACATTCACCCTCTATTTCCAGAACTCACTCTTAAGGAGCTGGGCCAGCAGCTTTACAATAAATCTTCTACTTCCCCTTTGGAGATTATCCATATCCACAATCCTTTTACTAGACCTGAAAGTTCCACCAGGGAATAACAAGTTGATTCTGTCTCCCTCAGAAAACTCCACTCCTCCTGACAAGAGGTTCCCAGTCCTGGAGCGCGTTGGACTGATATATTAATAAAAAGTTTTGATAAATACCAATTGCCTGGCCCCATCTTCAGAGATTCCAATAGGTCTGGGGTGGACAGACACAGACGTTAGCATCTTAAAGTCTCTCCATGTAAATGTAACGTACAACCAGAATTGAGAGCCACTGCTCTAGGGCAGTGCACCCACTCTCTTCAGGTTACAATGAGGGACAAGGTGCCTTGGCCAGCAGGTTCCCAGGGAAAGAGGCCTAGGGTAGAGTCACTGGTTCTTCTTTCAGCCAGGTCAGCTCTCTTCTGGCAAGGATTCATTTTCACTTAACTGTCCAGATCCAGAGATGGGCTAAAGTATGTAACATCGGTCCAGAAAGTATCCAGCCATTGTTAAGATAACGAGAACGTGGTGTGACACAGATGTAGCCTGGCAGCCGCGGAGAGTGGCTGGGCGCGCATGTGAACAATGACGACCTCACTGCACTAGTCAGTGGGGCGCTAGACGCCGCTGAGTGAGCACGTGCACTGCGTGGCCGTCACACCCAAAATCACTGAGCGAGCACAACAACGAATCTACATCAAATTTTGCCTTAAGCTTGAACATTTCTCCGCAGAAACTATTTCGATGATTCAGAAGGCTTTCGGGAACGATGCAATGAGTGCTGCAGAAATGAAAGTGTGGCACATGCACTTCAAAGATGGTCGAGGAGCTGTTGAAAGTGATCCACGTTCTGGAAGGCCTGCAACAAGCAGAACAGCTGAGAATGCTGAACGTGTGCGGGTTAGGGTAAGAGACGCCGGGAGAACTGTGTGAGGTCCCAAGGTGCCTACTGTGAAGGGGACTGAGGCGTCGTTGTGCTATGTACAATGTCTCTAGTATCTTGTGTCTTCTTTAATAAATGTCCCTATTTTTCATATTACATGGCTGGATACTTTCTGGACAATCCTGTATGTAATATCACTGTCACATTAATATACCCAAAAAGAGTCAGAAAGAATGGAACTATGAAAAAGTATGCCAACCCTTGAATCTGACAAGGAAAATCAGAGTGATGTTAAAATGGCATTGTTTTGTTGTCAGTGTGTTCATTCAATTATAGGCTGTTGAAACATAAAAAACGTTTTTTTTTTTTTTTAGAAAGAAAAAACGTTTGTTTTTTTAAGAAAAAGGGACTCACTTGGTCACGTGCAGTGGCACAATCATAACTTACTGCTGCCTCAAACTGTGATCCCCCTGCCTCAGCCTCCCAAGTAGCTGGGACTACAGGTGCATGCCACCATGCCTGACTCATTTACTTTATTTTATTTGGAGATAGGTTCTTGCTATGTTGCCCATGCTGGTCTTGAACTCCTGTCCTCAAGTGATTCTCCCACCTTGGCCCCCCAAAGTGCTAGGATTATAAGTGTGAGCCATCATGCCCAGCCAGAAATGCTCTTGAATGTACTATTAACACCAATATTGCCAACTCAGACCATTCTAGCTCCCTACTTCATACTCTAAGTGACTTACACTCCAAATAATTTCTGAAGATTTGTTTTATCTGAGAGTTACCTAAAGGAAGATCAAAGTAAACATTTCTGTTCATTTAACATCATATCGTCATTCCTCTGGTTATTACAAAAAAGGAAAGCATTTGATTGCCTCCTTGGCAGCTGAGGTGGAACGGAACCCCTGCTCTTCAGTAAACAGCTTTGTGCCCATGTTTGTAGACGGTGAAATACAGCGCGGGAGGAACAACCTCCGACTGGAGCGGCTGAAGACTGCTGGGACGGAGCTTTAATCAGGATCACAGGTTGGAAGTGCTGAGCTGGATCAAAAAAGCACACGGACTCCTGATGCCACCGGCACGTCTAACCGAGCGAGCAGGATGAGTGTGTGAGATGCTCTGAGACAATCGTCATGGTGGCAGAGGCTTGACGGCGACAGAGATGTGCCCAGGCACAGCATTTCTCAGAGGACCCTTCTTTCCTAGCACCGTGGCAAAAACTCAAGGAGTTGTAGAGACCCAATTCCAGCTTTCCCATAACTCGAGACTCTTCCCCCAAATAAATCCAGGAAAAGGGAACCATAAAAATGTCATTTTAATGGTACAGAAATAGTAGATAGCACATATCTTTCCACAGCAGCGCTTCATTCATCTCTAAAAAGTTTAACAAAATTAAGGCTAAATCAGAGCAATCTGATAGTAAAGGGATATTTTATGTGGTGGTTTTCTTAAAGAATGTTTTCATAAATATAGGATGTTCTTCAGGCAAAAAAATAAAAAATGTTGAACAAGATACCAGAAATGGGAAATGCAGTACAAAATGTGCTCCTTTATACCAATCTACTAATAACCACAACTTCCCTGAAAAGTTTCAAATGTGACTTGTTTAAAAATGAATGTTTATGATATGACACTAAGACTTTCTGAAGTTAAAATTCCACAGTACTAGACCATTTTATAAAATAAAACCAAGGACAGTTGAGTCTCCAAATAATCCCTCTAGAATAAATAAAACTTGAAAGCAGATAGTACTTAAAGGTACGAGAGAATTATATCTGAAGTTGTGGTGCTTGAAAGGATAATCCCCCTGCAACTGGCCCTTCTCCTTGACTATGTTAAAAAAAGAAATGAAGACTTTAAAATATGATGAAATAAAAATGTCCCCACGCCAAGACAAAGGGCTAGGAAATCAAATGGGGTTCTTGAGTAGCCTGGCTACAGATACTGATGTTTACTATGACCAGGAAGGAGGAACAGATTTCTTTGCCCCTTCTTCACTCCCTGGGCCGCCTTTGCTGGTTAACTTTTTACCGCTGCTTTCTGACTCAAGAGAAACCCTTCAGCTGCTCAGAGTCTTTCCCCTTCTCCCATCTCTTCTCCCAGTATGACACCTGGAAGGAGAACAAACAAGTGCAATGCTAACTCCCTGCAGGAAGCCTCACTCTAAAATCCTAGTCTCTGACAAGAGGGACAGTCCCCAGAGACCCACAGAAACCCTGCCTTCGAACGGCCCCATGCATATCTGCTTTAAGAAGTATATCTTCCTTCTTCCTCCACTCCCTCTTTTGCACACGAGTTTCCATTGTAATTTCCCCTTCTCCTCTACCACCTTCCCTTGCTTTGGGGAATGCAAATTTTATCTTCAGTGATAGAGAATTGTGGGTGTGCCATTCACATCACCAACCCTTGGAGAAGATGGTCTTATTTTTAATTACAGGCCTTAAACACCTATTTTAAGAAGAACATCTTACTTTATGATAAAAGGACCTGTTACCCAAGAGAAAAGTCTTCTCATAGGTTGAAATTTACATCATAAAGTAGCAGATAGTAAGAAATAATGTAATTTTTTTCTTTAACTTTTAACTTTTTAACAAAACACAAATTTTGTTTTCTTCCATTTCTTTGGCTCTCAGAGCCTCAATTTCCCATAAATAAATAAAATGGAAGAAAAATATCCAGGTAATAACAAATATCCTCCTAAGACCTATTTGTGTTCCAAAGACCCCTAGGAAACAACAGGTTGAGGTACATACACTAAAACGTGTTCCTTATACAAATTCATATGTAAACACAGATAAATAATATGATAAACATCCAAGTAACCACAATGATGTAGAATAACCAATAACATTATATGATCACACAATCACAAAAAGAGAAGGGACCTCTGACATCTTCCAGTTCGGTGGTTTCAAACCTTATTGGCCATGGTCACCAGGTTCACCAGGTCAGCTTTTTGCTAACATATTTCCTACGTTCTCTTCATGAAGAGTCAGATTCAGCCAGGCCTGGCCTGGGACCCAGGAATTTGTATATTTTTCTATAAAATTCAATAGTCCAACCCTCTTGTTATACAGGGGAGGAAGCTAAAGCCCAAGAAGTCAAGAGATTATCTAAGGCTACAGAACAAGTGACAGAAAAGGGGCTAGAATCCAGGTTTCTCATCCCCTCCTTTTTCTGTGATGCCACACTGCCTCCCAAAGCCTCCCCAGACCTGTCGCCCTTGCACTTAAGCTGAGCAGCCAGTAACAGACATTCTCTTGTTGCATCAGCAGGGAAGCTGTTTGAGGGTAGGGGCATGTCTCATACTCCCTCTGACACAATCCCAGGCACCTAATAAATGTCCACTAAATACTTCTTGGTTGGCAGTTCCTCAGCCAAGACCTAATATTCTATTCTCCATTCACATCTTGGTCTATGATTCAAGTGGATTCAAAACTATCTAACTGGATAATTTTCAAGATCCAGCTATGGAGACTAGTTAATTCCTGAATAAAGATGACATGTATAAACAACCAGAAATTTGGGTGACTATAGGAGTTCCTTAAGATTAATTACTATGTCTTCCCCTTATTCTCAAATTATATGAAAAAAATAAATGAATCCAAGGGAGAGGAAGAACCTGCCCATTTATCTACAGAATTTGGCAAATAAACATTTTAAAAATCCTCAACTATTATATGGAGAAAATCCTTAGCAACTGTAACAGCTATATCAAACTGATTTTTGTTACTGTTTATCTTGGTTTTCAATGTGTTTTCCCAGTTTTATAAAACACTCTTTTGTGGATGGTGTCAAAGTCCTTAATAAAGCTGACAGTGAGGGACGGGACACAATTAGCTTCTATATTGTAACATGTTTGTTCTCCTTCCCCTCTCCTCTCTCTCTGCCTCTCTCCTTCTGCCCCATAAACACACACATGTATTTATTTGGAGGTGGAAGAACATGTAGCTATGAACCATTTAGAAATAAGATGATTCTATTCTATTGTCATCTTGATTGAAGATAGAATAATGAAAAAAGGATAACCAAAACATTTAGAAATCCAACAGAAAAATATTAAAGAAAATTTAAGGTTAAAAATTAAATCAACAGGCACATTGGCCACCCGTGTCATGCAGTCCAGCCCTAATTATGCCCACTTGACAAACCAAGCATGCTGAAACAAGGAACAAGGAGGGACCACCCAGATGGAACCAGAACGGACAGGGGCAGAAGCCTTCCCGGAGGGCCCCATGGCGCTCAGGAGCAAGGGAAGGGCCAAGCCTCCCCAGGAACCACCAGAGGCGGCCCCAGGCAGCCCTGCACTGAGCACTCTCTCCCCACGTAACATTAAAAGGATGTACAGCTCCACTTGAAGAAAAGACCTTAGATCATTTATGGATGAAGCCCCTCCCACTTAAAAGAGCCCACACCCCAGGCTCTGCAGTGAGGCCTGCATCCAAACAAGGCTCTGCAGCTCCTCTACCAGGAGAGCCTGGGCAAGACAGAGCTTCCTGAACTCGTATTCTGTTTTAATTTCTACAGGAAAGGAACTTCCTTCTCTCTAATTGTTAAATCCAGTCTTACCTATAAAGTCATCCCTCAGTATCCACATGGGATTGGTTCTAGGATCCCTGTGGTTACCAAAAAGGCAGATGCTCAAGTCCCTTATATAAATGGTGTAGTATTTGCATATAACCTTCACACACTCTCCCATATACTTTACATCATCTGTAGGTTACTTATAATACCTAATACAATGTAAATGCTATGTAAATAATTGCTATACTGTACTGTTTAGAGAATGACAAGAAAAAAGTCTGTACATGTTCAATACAGCCACAACCATACTTTTAAAAAATATTTTCGACTTGTGGTTGCTTGAATACATGGATGTGGAGCCTGCAGATACCAAGGGCTGACTCTATATGGAGTCCTAATCATTTTTCCAGACAATCTTTTAAAATCACATTGACGAGCTCATTCATCCATTTCTTCATCCAACACATATTTATTACAGGACGACTGGATTTCTAGATAGTCAGAGCTAGGGGAGACCTTACACATCCTGCATCCCCAGGTGATAGAGGCAGGGCCAGCCCAGCCCAGCGTCCCTCAGCCTCGCCCCTGAGCTGTGATCCTCTCACCACCCCAACCTCAGCACACAGCAGTGCGCCATGTGCAAAATGTGTGTAATTTTTCATTTCAAAAATGAAATTACAAGATGAAAGAGTTTTTGTACCTTATTATGATTTATAAAGCTAATAAACATTAGCAAAATGGAATGATAAAACCAAAGGGTAAAAGTGCCTTTAAAAAAATAATTGCAGGGTTTGTAAAGATCCTTCATACATTTTTCACATTAAATATTTTATAAAGTCATATGCTATGTACATATGACAACTTTTTTGTCTTTCTGCATGGTTAGGATGTCATTCCAGAAAGACAACGGTACCACAAAACGACTCTCAGAGAATATACATTCCACAGCACTGACATTTATAATTTATGGTTCTAGTCCACAACCACCACTGTGGTCTATACATACACGATGGATAGTACTTAAAGAAACAGCCATTTTCTACTTACTTAATCAGAAGGAGGATGAAGCTGTTGCTAACATTTCAATAAAATATCTGATTCATAACTCAAGGGAAACCAAACTGAATTTAGTGAGAATACTGGCTGACAGATCAAACTTAAGTTCTGGACAAACTTACTGAAAATAATAGAGGTTTAAATATCTATCTCTTCAGGGAAAATTTAATGAGTAATTCTACACGCCAAATTTATTTTCTTATGGACTATATATGTGTATAAAGAGATATTATTCACTTATCACCCCAATTCTTTCATAAATTTACTGTGCCCTATTTCATAAAATAGAGCCTTCAAAATAAAAAGCCTGTTAGCTGACAGTTACTACCATGAATGAAGAGCTTCAATTGCTGAATACCCTAATCCTCCAGGAAAATTACATCAAAAATGGACATTTTATGACAGAATCATTCATTTTTCTCAAAACCAGAACAAATAGAAAATAACACTGTTAAGGGAATTTAAGTATTTTTCTGACCACTATTGCAGAAACACGGAAACTCAGCAGATTGCAGACATGCAGGAGTCAGCACTATATAGGAAAGAATTAACAAATCAAATTCAGTACACCTTTAATAACCAAATTAAAAGTAGACTCAATAAAACCAATTATTTCTTCCTCAAGGCAACCGTTAGCTACAAAGTAAAAATGATTTCATATCCTTGGTCCATAAAGAAGACACATTTATTTACATTCTCAATGGACTAAGAGAGGTTTTAAACTTGCACAATTAAAATTGTATGCTTCCAAAAATATCATATGATTAATGCACTTAACTTAAAGCTCCAGATATTAATAACTTCATTTAGACTTCTTAAAAAACCAACACAAACATACTTTCTAGAGTGCAAAATGCTTCTTATTAAATACTTCAGTAACACAAAAGCAATTTGTTTTTAAACACAGGAATCCTTTTCTGAAGGATCATCACCACAGAGACATCCATTGCCGGCAATGGACGTTGAACAGAACTGCCAGCTTGAATGAAATGCAACGTGAAAACTTTGCCTTCCATTTCTTCACCTGTCTAGATGACCCCGGCTACTTGTACAAACTCATCGTCGGGCTCTGGTACATGCACATGTACGCATCACAGAGGAGTCTTCGTGCGCAGCCCTGGATTCTTCTGGAGTCCAAGGAATGCAGATCTTCCAGGGACATCTTCAAGTATTCTCCCACCTCTGGGCACGGGGTAACTTGAGGAATGTTGAAGCCATTCTGACCACCTGTGACAAAGAGGAAGCGCTCTTTTTAGGGCAGTAAAGTTCTAAGCCCCTTTGCTGCCCTGCCCCACCAAAATAATTTCACAGTCCTACAACTCAGAAAAGGCTAATTTTCAGGATCTAAAAGATTATATCTGATATCTGAAAGTTAAAGCCTCCCTTAACTCTTAAGAGTTTTCTCATTTCTTGGTTTCTGAAAGGATTCTGGGGCCATTAATGAGTAAAACTGCTAAAAAAAAAAAAAAAAAAAAAAAAAGAACCATATTCTGAGGTAAGCCCCACGCCTGCTTCCAGCCTTCTCTCTGTGTTCAGTCAGGGAATAATGTTACCTACACATGTGCAGGCAGGCTGCATCTTCACATTTCCATATCCTCCCCCAGACACAAGCAGCCCAGAACACTTTCCACGAGACTGTCCAATCCAGAGCAGATCTAGTAAAACGAACACTATTATATTTTCCTGAACTTTAAAAACGTATTTGTACGACTCTAACACAGTTCGTTTTACATGTCATCAGACTGTGGATGATGGTGCTCTAGGGTGTGGTGTCAGAGATTCCACAAAAGGCCCTCCTGGTTTCACACTCTGAGGGGCTTTTCCAAATGTCTGAAATCTCTATGCTTTTGAGTTACGCTGTTCAACACAAATGCTATTAATAACTGGGTCAGGGACACATCTACGGATGGCGCTCGGCTATGTCCCTCGAGTATCTAAGAGCTAAGAAAAGGCAGAAGACTCTTGGTTTAAAACTTGGGCCTCTGGTCAAGAGGCAGCCACAGGGTGTGGCTTAGGTTATTAGAGGACCACACCGGAAGACCCAGGAACTGCCCTTTAGAGAATGGCTAAAGGAAAAATTAGATGTAAGAAGAAAGAAAGAACATGAAAGTCACTCTTCACAACCGTGCCTAGGTAGAGGTGTGGCTGTTCGACAGCATTTCATTCCTGAAACCTACTAGAGACCCTGGCACTCATTAAGTATTTGTTAAATAATGACCAAGCATCTTAGAAAATGGCCTGGCAAGTATAGTACATTCCCCATTTCAGGAAGAAACGTAGTAAATACAGAACAGGCTTATTTTTCTAAAGAGGATATTTACTTTTGTTCTTAGCTTTTGTCATTTGGAAGACAACATGGTTTAGTATAAAAAAACGTAAGCACTGAGATCAGTAAGAATGAGTTAAATATAAGCTCTGTGACCTTAGGCACCTTTAACCACAGGTTTAATAACAGAAAAATAGGAATAATTCCCATCTCACAGGGTTTAGGTAGAATGACTTCATATACTCCCAGAGAGCCTGGCCTACATGTGCTCAGTAAGTGGCTACTATGGCTTATGCAAAAAGGAGAGGAGCCTGAAAGTAAAAGACAACAAAGCTGAAAATAAAATCTCTCAGCCCTAAAGCAAGAATTGTAGGATTCTTTTTTTAACAAAGAACACATGCATGTCAAAATATCACAACAGTATTATTCCCTAGTTAGGTAGCAGGGTTGTTAATGCATTCAAGATTTAAAACTGTGTCACCAAGATAACCCTGAAAAGATTGTCTCACAAAATATCTTAGTATTCAAAATAGGTGATCCCACCATGAACTATCCCACTACAAACCAAAATGCTGCCACATGTAGAAGAAAGTTTTTCTAAATACCATCCCGATCAGCCATGCTATCAAAGAAGAGCCAGGCAGAGTCGTCCTTCCCATACTTCACAAAGGCAACATAGTGGCTTGTTTCTATACAGAGAACAGCAAATAACTCCATCTTCTGGCAAGGGATGCAGCCGTGTCTCCAGTCCCAGTCAGGTAAATCTTTGGGAAGTGACACTGGGTTGTATTTATGATTCAACCTCTTGGGATGAAGGTGGACCTAAAATGGACCATGAAGAGAATGTCATTAGTAAGCTACAGTGTTTCAAGTGAATGGACTCTACTTACTCTTACTGAATACACACCCCTTATAAAGTTCAATCTTTAGCTATCAAATAAAGGGTCAGAAAAGACATAAACAATACTATTTTATTATGAATTTTTTTAAGTTATGATTTTCAAAGACTTTTCAAAGCCTGCATCTGTTTTTAACTCTCAACAAGAGATCATCCATTAAGTGAAGGAAACTTACTTGAGTGTTGCAGGTTTTGCAAAACTGCTTGATCTTCCCAGCTGAGATGTCCGGATCATCATAGCACTCTCTGCACTCATACATTGCGAGCCCCCCACATATCCGGCACTGCCTGGGAGCTGAAACGGGGGAGTGAGGGGGAGTTACGGGGCCTTTTAAAAATGCATTTGTTTATTAAGAAGGTTAAAAATAAAAGTTATGCTTTAAAAAGAATAATATTCGTGGCTTCAAAAAATGTCTGTCCCTCTCCCATACTCTTAGGGGATTTTCTTGGACTCAAAATGTCTTCAAAGATATTTTGTCTGACCAAGGAACAATTTTTTAAAAATAACATATTGTAGGGTGTTTTCCCTCCATTATAAAATGTCCACTGATGAAAATTCAAACATATAAGAAAGTACAAATAAAATTAAAAGCATCTGTAATTTCAGTTAGCAAGAGATAACTGTGTCAATATTATTGTAAAATTCTCCAATAATTTTATGTGTGAATATTTACATAACTATGTGTGTATGTGTGTTTATATACGTACACATATACTGAGCCCCTTCTGTAAATGTACCAATGTACTTTTCACTTAATTTTCCATCATGACTGTTTTCATATACACTGGTCTTCAAAACCATGAATTTGAATGCCAGTAGTGTCATTGTACAGATATTCAACTCATTTAACTCCCCTCTATCCCCTCTATTCCCCTCTTGTTAACATTTAGGTTGTTTCTAATTTCTTAATCATATGACAATAAGCACATTTTGCAATATAAAATACTTTTTTTCATTCAAATTATTTTTCTTAAAATAAATTCCTAGAACTAAAATTACTGGTTTGCTATATCCAGGCTCTTCAGATACTGAATTGCCTTTTAGAAGTATTGTCTCCAGTTAGATTCTTACTCACAACTAAGGAGAAGGACCTGACAGATTATTTCTTAAAAACAACAAAACAAACGAAAAAATCTTATACTTACTGTCTTCAAGTAAATCTGTTATATTTAATTCCAAAGAAGGAAAAATTTTTTTAAACAGTTTAAAGTCTTTTCCAAATCGAGGCATCTGAATAATCAGACATGATGGTGCCTATAAAAAAAGATATATATTTTTAGAATCAAAGTGCTGAAAAAAAATTTCCCTATAAAACCAAAATAGTCATGGCTGTCAAATCAAGCAATGATTTTTGCCATAAATTGACAGTCTGTAAAACAGGAACCACACACTGGACATAACAGCACTCACAAGCCACAAGTCACCAAGACCTAGCAGGAAGGAAGTTCAACAATTTTGGGTCTTAAATGATAATAATGACTACTGATAGTGGCATTTACGTTGGGTTTATATTCAATAAAGGTTTTAGAGAAATTATTTTTGCAAATGTGATACAGAAACTGTCACAGAAAGACACAATTCTTTGTATTTCAACAAAGAAATAAGTGTGGCTGTTAAGCTTTTACCAAACATTCCTTCAGAAATGAATATAATAAAAATAAAACATAAGCATGTACTACTAAAATAATGAAGACACTCAGTAGAGAGCAAAAGAAAAATAATTTATATTACTTGTTCCTTAATAAGCCAATATAAATGAATTTATTGACATTTTTGTTTCTTAATGAAGGGGGAGAAGTATACATTGTCTTTTGATATATTCAGGTAATATGACTGGGTAAAATGATAATTTTTTTTAAAAACATAAATATTCCTTTTGCTTTAAATGACTTAAAAGTTTTCAAGTTACAAATTAGCTTGGTCTTTTCTTTGGCACCAAAAATCCAAAAAGTTCAATCTTAATCATAAGGCATTTTCTATATAGACAAGTTGAAACATTGCACATTTTTTGAAATTTGTGTTTTCATAACAGTTTGTGTTTCAAACTGTTCTCAGCTGGTTAAAATCAATAGATATCGACTCTACCAATAGTCTTTAGAATCCTTTCATATAAAATATAGTGAGTATTACTAACCTCTGCAAATTTCAGGTTACTATTGATAAAGGACCATTCTAACAACTGCTGAATGGTAGGAACTCCAACTTTCTCATTTTTTTCCATAAAAATTTGATAGAAGTAACAATCTTGTACTTTTTGACCTGCTGATCTAAAAGCATGCAGAAAAAAATATAATTTATTTATTAAATGCTTAAATCAAAACGTGAAGTTGTTCCAGTGGTATTTGAGAACAGAAAAATCATACCATCGATGATGCAGTTTGGGATAGTAAGAACGACACGGAGAAAAGAAAAACTATTTGGATAAAATAATCAAATGTACTTTGCACAAGACCTTATAAATGATCCCTTGTTTTGGTTTTTATATTGACAAGTTCTCTTAGTTATTAGGAGAGAAACAATGGAATAATGACCCCAATCAAGAAGCACTGTGTGAACAATAATAACTAGAAGCTAAAATCACTTTGTTAAACTTCATAATCCAAATCTAGAAAGAAGCAAACTGCATTTAATGCTCAAAACAGGAAAATAAAACCTTACACTAATGTATTCCTGAATGTGACAGACCCTGAAAAGACCTTCTAGATCAAACTTTAATTTCTAAAATGAAGCCCCTGAGATTCAGGGAAGGAGAATGACTTCCCAGCATGTCAAAGGAAGAACTAGGTAAGGAACCCAGGTATAACCTGGGTTATAATAATAAGCTAACAACCATTTACTATGCTTTCTGCTAAAGTATGTTGTCCTCTAAATGATCACTCATTTATTCAACAAATACCAAGTAAATGCCTACCACAGGGTGTCCCAAAAGTCTCCACACAAATGAAAAATTTTGCAAAATTTTATAATGAATATTTTGTAAGTAATGATACTTTAGCTACAGGTTCCCAGTTTCCCTATGTGTAGTGTCTTTCGGGACAACCTATATATGCCAATCACAGTGTTACCCTTATGTTAAACATTTTTCTTTCTAAGTATTTTACTACAGAATGCTGTTAATCTTTAAAACTAACTATACCAAAAGGATTAATAATCTTTAAGTCTACCATTTACCTTTTTAGTAGAATTTCTGGATATAAACTCAGACTATTTATATCTAGACTTATATCTAGATTTCAAGATTGGGGGGGAAAATATTAACATAGTTTTCATAACAAAATCTCAGCTATTCGGAGACCAATCTGCAGAAAGCCTCAGCTTCCCAAAGCAACTTGTACCCAAAATGAACAAAATTTATTTGGTAACAAAACAGGAGATCCTTAAGAACCTACAACAAATAAAAACAGATGATAACCAAAAAACATGCAGGTTATGCTATACCAATATTTTAATTGGTTGTTGATGACTACAAAAGGCCAGATTTTTTCTGTGAAAGCCCCAAAGCACAGAAAACTAATAGGCAACAGAAAAAAATAAGACAAGAAACTAAGAAACGAGAAAGTAGTAGAGTCAGTAGTTACAACAAGTAGAAACAATAATGGCAGCGGGAGAGAAGGGATGGTGGTTGAACGAAGTATGGCATTGCAGATGCTGAGAGCAGGGACCCAGAAATGAGGATGAAGAAGACAACAGCTTTGTGACACTGGGGCAGGAGAACAGCAGAGGGGGAACAGCCATCACTCAAACTTCATTTCTAAAGTTTTAGAAGGGTAAAACCCTAGAGAATCACAACAAAGTTGGTGCTACTGAACAGAACTGTGCAATTTAGATTGTAGTTTTCCACTAAGGAAAACCTAAGGGAAGAAGGCTACAACTGTGTTAACTTGAAAATAAAATTGACAATTGCAGAGAAGATAAAAACACTTGGAATATATCATTTGAGTCTATCTACCTTTGTGACACAGATCACAATGGATAGCCACTAAAATTCTTCACAGATTCTGGGTTACCCAGCAATATGGAATATAATACAGATATGGTATGTCCATAGAATAAGAAGACCCAGACCATGTCCTACAATGAGAGTTACTCAGTAATACAGTCTGAAAATTTCCCTCCATCTTTGCTTCTTGATTGCTGAGGTTATTCCATTCTTTTTCTTGGAATATTTTGCCACCAATCACCATGCTTTCTTGCTAGTGGCTATGACTTTAGTTTCGCCTTGCCTTTAACACTACACATGCAATTCATCACTACTATTATTACCATCGCTGTTGCTGTCTTTTAGATGTGAAGGCTTAATTTACCCAAATTTACCAATTTCTTCATTCTTCCTTATTTCTTGCATTCCACTCTCTTATTCTAAATTCAATTTTGTTTTACTAAAGTATATCCTGGATAAGTCTCTGAATGGTTATTCAGTCCTAGTTCTTCCTGCTCAGGAATTCTGAATATCTTTACCCTTAGAATTTAAGTGTATTAAAAATTCTGAAAATTCTTCAGCTATTATTCCTTGAAACATTGCTTTTTCCCTATTCTCTCTAGTGTCTCTTTCTGGAAATCCAGTCAGAATCTATCTTCCCTGTCTCTTGTGCATTTTTTCTAGTTTTCTCTTTATTCCTTTGGGCTACATTCTGGGTACTTTCTTCAACTCTATCTTCCAAATGAGCGATTCTCTCTTCAGCTGTGTATACTGCCTCCAGTGAGGTACCCCCTCCCACCCATCATGATATATTTTCTATTTCTGGAAATTCTGTTTTACTTTATTTGATTTTGTTTGTTACCAAATCTGTTTTTATTTTCCATTGGTATCTAGTTCTTCTTTTGTCTCTTCAAATCATTTAGGAATATCTTTTAGATATCTTTCAGGTTCTTTTAGACTATTTTATTATTACAGATTTTTAAGGTACTCATCCTCCTATTGTTGCCTTAACTAACTCTCCCTCAATCAGAAAGAAAGGCAAGAGGAGGGGAAGAATGACATTTGAAAAAATAGAGCTAACTTAAAATTATTTTTTAAACAGTGATTCTCAATATGAAGAGGTTGCTTGGGGGGTGGGTGGGACAGTGCAAGAACTTCCCGGGGCCCTTTCAAATCCACGAGGCCTTAAGACTCTAAGATATATTCCCGGATGTGCCTGGCCCCTCTGTATGCCTTCTGAGGATCACTGCAGTATCCAGCCTATGTTATAACTGGGAGTGTATTACATCCCTTAAGTGGTGAACTAGGAAAAAAAATGAAAACAAATGTTTTAGGCATCTATAATTTATCTCTTTAAAATTAAAAACAAAATTGTCTTTTTTCCTCCCAAAGTACCTGCTAGGTTTCCTATATCATATGTTAAATATATCTTTTCTTCTCTTTTATGTTTGGAAGCCAACCTTTCAGTGTAGACACTGAAATACTACATATCACTAATTCTATTTCTGAGCTTTCTATTTAGTTTTATTAATCCATATTTCTAATATTATACCAGTATTACACACCATTTTAATGTCTATAGCTTTGCCTTTATAGCTTATAATAGAACTCTTTTCTAAACTAATTCTTCAATATTTTTACCCACTTCATTTTGTAGAGAACTCTAAAATCACTTTCCTAAGTTCTAAAAATAAAGTTAAGATCGTATTTATGTGCAAATTAATTCATAAAAATTAACATATTTAATCTTCCTTCCTAGAACACAATCTTTCTCACTAATTAATCAAATCCTCCTTTAGCTCTGCATAAGTCTTTTTAAAAATCTACTCAATAAAATTGATTTCTTGGTATTTTATACTTTCATGAAGTATAAAATTATTCTTTTTCATATTTGCTTGAAGGTATACAGAAATGTTATTGATTTTCCCATGGTTTTTTTACACAGCTAAATTATAAATTCTGTTGTTAATTATAGTATTTTCTAGACAATTCTCTAGGATTTCCTAGGTACACATATGGTTATTACCATCTTTGAATAGACAATAAACGTGAGCTCTTGATATTTATGTACTGTGTCTCACTTCATTAGTTACAATTTCCCAAATGATATCAAACCACAATGTGGCAGTATCCACGCTTCCTTCTCCTAGCCCATCAACCCAACACTGGCATCAGACGGTCACTTAGGACATAAGTGAGTAAGAGTACTTGTCTACGGTTAGCTTTTAGGGAAATGTATTGTACATGACCAAGATTCTCAATAGAGAAACCCAGGTTAAAATGTAAAAAGGACCACTGTTTAGACTATGAACATTCAAACTATCCTGAAAGTTTAGCCATTTAGAACATTTCACCAAGAACTTGAACTGCATTCAATTCAAGGCTTTCATTCAACATGGAGTGTGGGGGAAGACCAAGTTACACAACTAAAAACAAGAAAGCTAATTTAAAGATAAATTAATTCTCTGATAGGTACACAAAAACAGTGTTCTCAAAATGATTAGTTAAAATGAGATTCTCCTAAAAGGTTCATTAATTTAAGTTACAAAAATATTTATATACAGTTTCATAAGAAAATGATTTGTAATAATACTTATCACTACATTTAAAATTAAAAATACAAATTTATATTGGATTTGTTCTCCAAGTTAAGTATGGTATTATGGAGAGGACAATGAATAAAATTAATTGCACCATATTCATCTAGCATATTAAGAGCTCTATATAAATACAATATGAAGTAATCACCAAGGAAATTATTTCTACTCAGTGACGGCAGTAGAAGTGAGGACTGTCTACTTTTCCAATTCTTCTAGAACAATTTAAAAGTTACCTTATTTTTAGCAATGGCTCTACCCTTAAAATATGATGAAATAAGATATTCAAGAATTCTTCAGGATCTAGAAGAAAATGTAAAATCAAATCAGTCACAGACAAAATTTTTTTTTTTTTTTTGAGACAGAGTCTCGCTTGTGGACCAGGCTAGAGTGAGTGCCGTGGCGTCAGCCTAGCTCACAGCAACCTCAAACTCCTGGGCTCAAGCAATCCTCCTGCCTCAGCCTCCCGAGTAGCTGGGACTACAGGCATGCACCACCATGCCCGGCTAATTTTCTATATATATTAGTTGGCCAATTAATTTCTTTCTATTTATAGTAGAGATAGGGTCTTGCTCTTGCTCAGGCTGGTTTCGAACTCCTGACCTCAAGCAATCCGCCCGCCTCAGCCTCCCAGAGTGCAAAATTTTTAATCATTCTATTTTTTATTTATAAGTCATATTTCTTACTGAATTCAATTTCATTCCTTCAATATTAATAGTTTTCAAGTTTTCCTGACAAAGGAAAAATACAAAGATATTGTAAAGTATTATGTTTCAACTTTGTTATAACTTTATTGCTTTTAAAGAGTATAGTAATTCACAAATAGCGAAATAATTAATTTGGGGGGGTATAAGATAAGTGGAATAAAACCTGAAGTATGCCCTGTTTTTTCCTGCTATTTAAATAATGTTCAAGCCTTGAAACATTATAGCTGGTTACAATATGCTGCTAACAAGTGCAAAGACAAGCATTGAATCTGTAAGTCCATCAGCTATGAAGAGATTAAAACTGTTAAACTTCATTCTTATCAGCAGTTTTGTAACTCCCTTTCAGAACAAGGAAAACAAAGTAGGAAAATATAGATGACTCCACACAACCCTTTACCACAGAAAGAGAAACAATTCAGAATATTATTGCTGGATGGAAAGGGAAGAATGTTTTATTTAACGTTAACTGCCATGTAAATTGTATTTAACTCACGCTAGTTTTGAGCCTGGGACCTCGTGAAGCATATGTAACTCACACGTCCCTTTACCTTGAGAGTTGTGTGAAGTGAATTATTTTTTAAGCTGCATGTAACTTACACATAGAAAACAATAAAAAATAACAAATTTTTCATTAAATTAGAAAGCATCATTTTGTTTTCAAAGTTTTTATTCTATTTCAGTAAATAAACATTGTGGCCCCAAGGAAAAATTTTTCTTTCTAATGTGGCAATCAATGTGTTAAGCATTTAATATGCTAGAACCAGGCATATTCTGAAAGGGGTTCATTATTCCACATTATCATTCACTCTTGGAAGACACTAGGATAAGAGAAGAGTTTACAAAAAGAGGAGAAAATTATATATCACATAGAAACTAACTTGTTATTTAAAATAAAACCCAAAACAACATGTACATTTCAGCTAATAATTTAGCATATGAATATGATTTCTAGTTATTTTTAATGAATATACTATAAATTAAGATAGTCACCTTTTTCTTCAGAGGTAAATCCTGATGCAGCTTCTACTTTTTCAAGTATTTTCCTCAGTTTCATAATTTTTGTGGCACACACATATCCATATCTACATGTTAGTAAAAAAAAAATAAATGATAGTGGCATATATATTAAATTATATAACACATCTTAAGAATCACACATTTCTCATAAAACTCCAACACATCATAAATCAATAGGCTAAACAATTGTTTTGAAGAATACAATTATAGGCTGCTTCTTGAAGTTTGAAAAATTAAAGATATAGAACCAGAATTATCCTAGATACTATTATACATCTTAAATTTGTCACATATTAATACAAGAAAAATATTTTTTAACAAGTTAGTGATGAGTATGCAATTTTGAAAGAGAAAAGTCCTTTTAATACCAAAGGGTGGAAGAATATACCATGCTCATGGGTCAGCAGAATTAGTATTGTTAAAATGTCTGTACTACCCAAGTGACCTACAGAGTCAATGCAATCCCTATTAAAACACCATCATCATTTTTCACAGATATAGAAAAAATAATTTTATGCTTCATATGGAACCAGAGAAGACCCCGTATAGAAAAAGCAATCCTAGGCAATAAAAACAAAATAGGAGGTATCAATTTACCAGACTTCAAACTATACCACAAGGCTATAGTAATTAAAACAGTTTGGGAATGGCACAAGAACAGGGATATTGACCAGTGGAACAGAACAGAGAACCCAGATATAAAACGATCCGCACATAGCCATCTAATCTTTGACAAAGCAGACAAAAACATACACTGGGGAAAACAATCCTTATTCAATAAATGTTGCTGGGAGAACTGGATGGCCACATGTAGAAGACTGAAACAGGATCCACACCTTTCACCTCTCACAAAAATCACCTCACGCTGGGTAACAGACTTGAACCTTAGGGGTGAAACTATTAGAATTCTAGAGGAAAACGCTGGAAATACTCTTCTACACATTGGCCTAAGCAAAGAATTTATGAAGAAGACCCCAAAGGCAATCACAGCATCAACAAAAATAAATGGGACCTGATCAAATTTAAAAATTTCTGCACAGCCAAAGAAACTATCAAAGAGCAAACAGACAACCCACAGAATTGGAGAAAATTTTCACAAGCTACACATCCAATAAAGGGCTGATAACTAGAATATATTTAGAACTCAGGAAAATCAGCAAGAAAAAATCAAACAACCCTATCAATAAGTGGGCAAAGGACATGAACAGAAATTTTTCAAAAGAAGATAGAATAATGGCCAATAAACATATGAAAAAATGTTCAACATCTCTAATCATCAGGGAAATGCAAATCAAAACTGCAATGAAATATCACTTATTTCCAGTAAGAATGGCCTTTATCAAAAAGTCTCCAAACAATAAATGTTGGCATGGATGCAGAAAGAGAGGAACACTCCTACACTGCTGGTGGGACTGCAAACTAGTGTAAGCTCTGTGGAAAGCAATATGGAGATACCTTAAAGCGATACAAGTAGATCTACCATTTGATCCAGCAATTCCACTACTGGGCATCTACCCAAAAGATCAAATGACACTCTACAAAAAAGACACCTGCACTTGAATGTTTATAGTAACACAATTCACAATTGTAAAGTTGTGGAAATAACCCAAGTGCCCATCAATACATGACTGGATTAATAAAATGTGGTATATGTATACCATGGAGTACTATTCAGCTTTAAGAAACAATGGTGATATAGCACCTATTGTATTTTCCTGGATAGAGCTGGAACCCATTCTACTAAGTGAAGTATCTCAAGAATAGAAAAACAAGCACCACATGTGCTCACCAGCAAATTGGTATTAACAGATCAACACCTAAGTGGACATACAGGAATAACATTTATCGGGTGTCGGGCAAGTGGGAGGGGGTAGGAGGGGATGGGTTTATACAAACATAATGAGTGAGATGTGCAACATTTGGGGGATGGTCACACTTGAAGCTCTGACTCAAGGGGGGAGGGGGCCATGGTCAATATACGTAACCTTAACATTTGTAACCCCCATAATATGCTGAAATTTAAAAGAAAAGAAAATACCAAATGGTGAAATAGCCACCAAGGGAAATGGGAGAGGGCATTAATAGAAATTAAAAATCTAAAATCTGCAATCAAACCATATAAGCATATCAGCATAATTATGACATTTTCTCTCATCTTTTTCTGAAGACAGGACACATTCATTCAGTTAAATGTCAACGTAAAATGTTAATTCTAAAAACTGCTTCAGAAGAGAACTTTGTGGCCACCATTGGCTTAATAAGGGCAAGTCAGGACTAGCTAATCTTATATCCATTTTTTATGCTGACTATTCATTCACTCATCAGCTCCCTGCAACCAACATGTATTGAGCATCTACCACTTAACACAGTGATCCAACCTGCTCGCCACTGGGAATACAAAATGAGTACGCAGTATCTCCACCATTGAGAAGCTTGCAATGGAGAAAGCCAAGGTTTCAGTATCAAAACCTGTGAGCTATAACACAGATATGAATGCTGCAGCCAAGGGAATCTGGATAGCAACAGGGCATCTAACAAGTTTCTTACTGTGGACAAGGGACAAAGTGTGATTAATTATGATTCTTACCTGGATGGACAATAGCATTCAAAGAATGTTTATTAATTAAATTATAGTGTTTTCGAAGTAAGGAATGAAGTGCCTTAGAATTTTGGATTTGACCTGTCTTGTTCCAGTATTAATTACTTGGGGGTAAAAAAATAGAAAGTATGTTTGAAAATTTGCATAAGACAAAATAATTAATGTAAAAATCAAGACTAGAGAATTCATTACAGAATTTAAGGAAAATAAAAGATATAAACAGGGACATTTATTCTCTTATAATTTACTTTCCTAGTCATGTGATATAATAGGTTATTTAGAATGTTCATTTATTTCAGTATCCTTTTTTGGTAAAAAGCTTACATAAAACTATTTATTTTAATCATTAAATAAAAAAAAAGTATGTCACAAGATTTAAATTTATCTTAATATGGACTTTAAATTAGTTTGCTTTCTATACTCCATTTGAACAAGTTTGTTTTATGATCTATGGTCCTAATTCTTCATAGTTTAAATTTTATAATGTGACATTATCACATATCACTACCACCACCTATTCAAAGTCTTTACTAGATGTCTCCTGTCACTTGTGCTTGTACCATTACAACTTGCTGCCTGGGGCCAAAATAAGACACATTTATAATTCCTAAACTAGGAAATGGAACAAGAATCACCTTTTTAAAGGAGGTGGAAAGAGGTCTAAATATATCCTTTCACATGTTACTAAACTATATCTCATCAGTTGCTAGTATTAATACAAAAGTATTAAATACTAGCTATCCTATAAATAAAAAATTCCACTTGCTCCTTTTCTTTCTTTTTTCTTTTTTTTTTTTTTTTTTTTTTTTGAGACTGTCACCCAGGTTGGAGTGCAGTGACACAATCATAGCTCACTGTAACCTCAACCTCCTGAGTTCAAGGGATCCTCTGGCCTCAGCCTCCCAAGTAGCTAGAACTACAGGCATGCACCACCATGTCTAGCTAATTTTTTTTTATTTTTTGTAGATACAGGGTCTTACTATATTGCCCAGGCTGGTCTCTAACTCCTGGCCTCAAGCAATCTTCCCACATCAGCCTCCCAAAGTGCTGAGATTACAGGCATGAGCCACCACGCTTGGCCTCTTGTTCCTTTTCTTTCAGATAAAATTAAGTTTAAGAAGCCAGACTATACCAATATATAGCATGATTATGTTAGGGGTAGTAGTGGAATAAACTATTTCAAAAGATAAGAACCCCAAGTACTATATATATCAGCTTTTCTAAACCTACTGCAATTACTAAACTACAGTATACTCTACCAAAATGGTTTAAGTAATTTCATGGAATATACTATGTTCTATACCTTGGCAAGATTTACAAAATTAAATAAGCAAAGAAAGTACAAGGACCAAAGGTTAAAACAATTTATTTTTCACCAAGAGAACTAATTTTCATCCATTTCTTATTACTTCAAAGCAGGGTATAAATTAATTACTGTATCAGTAAACAGCAAGTAGGACGCCATGTAAAAGCAAAGTAACTATGTATCTTCTACTTACATTCTCAGAGGATTAACAATTTCTGTCCTCAGTAGCTCTTGAGTTTCACTGTAATATTCTACATCATTCTTTTCTTTGGGTCTAAGTAACACAGTGTCCAGAACAGAACTAAAAGCAAATAAACTGCAAAATAAAAAGAATATTTTTATTCATGTTAGAAATGTAATTTTCAAGAAACAGATTCTAAAAAGAAGCAGAAGAGGAAAAAAAAAAGCAAAGTGTAAAACAAATAACATAACAATTTATGTTTTTCCCATTAACACAAGTACCCAAAACCCCTGTGAAGATTCCTGTGATTCAATCACTGAGACCTAGAGACCCTTTCAGGTTAAGAATACTAGTACTAAGAACACATACAATAGATTGACAGTGTTAAAAGATAAAAATGTGCCTGTAGCATATTAAGAAAGAAAACTTCTTTGCAAAAGTTGAAAGAGGGCCTACAAATTTGAGTATTACAAACAGACAGCAGAGGAGGAAGTTTGGAAACTATTTCGCAAGGTGTATCACTACCCAGTATCATACTTCTCTCTCCCCATGTCCATTCGCAAAGATCTAAATTTCTTTAAATGTTAAAATCACTCATGAGTGACTAACAGCAGTAACTTGCTGGTATCAAAGAAAAAGAAAATTTGGCTGTTAATACAGATTTTTATCAGGAAATCTAGAGAATATTCTATCAATGCTGCAAGGCTTGTTTTTGTTAACACATCTGAGAAACTGAAAGTATTTTTTTTTTTTTACAGAGTGTCACTCTGTTGCCCGGCTAGAGCAACATGGTGTCAGCCTAGCTCACAGCAACCTCAAACTCCTGGGCTCAACCAATCCTTCTGCCTCCTCCTCCCAAGTAACTGGGACTACAGGTACCATGCCCAGCTAATTTTTTCTATATATTTTTAGTTGTCCAGCTAGTTTCTATTTTCTTTTATAGTAGAGACGGGGTCTTGCTCTTGCTTCGGCTGGTCTTGAACTCCTGAGCTCAAACATTCCACCCACCTCGGCCTCCCAGAGTGCTAGGATTAAAGGCGTGAGCTACCGCACCTGGCCTGAAAGTATTTTGCAAACAAAATGGCCTGTTAGTTTTATTCTCCCTACTTTAAAAATCTGAACATCCCTTATTAACTTCCTAATTCTTACGACATGGCTGTACTGGCAGTGTACAATCCTCAGAGTTTAAAGACTGTTTGTTCAATCCTCAGAGCCTAAAGATTTTTGCCACATTAAATTGTTTCACTTTGGAAAAAAACTTACCTATACCAGGCAATAGTGATTCCACTTAAAATAATTTTTTTAAATAATGTAGTTTTATGATTGCCTTTACCTCCTAAAACAAATACAGCACACATCATCCAATGACCTATCACAAATCATGTTATTTGATATATACACAAAGATTTCCCAGATACCTCGGTATAACTGTTCCACTTATAACTGTATCACTCAGCAATTACTCATTATAATTACATTACTTTTTATGGTAATGTTTTGGACACAGAAACTTGAGATAAAATTTAATAAATTACAAGCAGTATATTATGAAAAGCAAATCTTTCTTTCCTGACCCCTAATCACTTGGTTTCTCTACTCAGAGGAAGTTGGCAATTTCTTTCACATACACACACACATGTATCCCTGCCTATATGACACTGTCTCTACCTGCATTAATTTTAAACTTACCAGAATAAGGTTGAGTCTAAGTAACAAGAATTATAATGACCTTGGATACCTTTCTTCTTTCCAATCATTATCTCTAAACCTTCTTTTTCCATTTTTGGTGGAGTATTTTCTTCTACTACTTCACTTAAGTAGCCTCCAAATGCTGAAAAGATTTTTAAAAATGTAAATGAAAAGAATTCTTTTAAACTATTGCAATATCTATTCCCATATATATTTCTTCATTTTAAAATGTTTTGGTATTTTGAGCAAAATTTATTCCTCAACTTCAAGTTAAAGATAGGCTTTGGTTAACTGCTATTCAGCTTGGCTTCTAAAAATTGCTATTGATCACTTTCAACTTTACTTCCTCTGTAATTTAAAAAACACTTTAGAGTATTAAGTAACATGTAAAAAGCATCTGTCAAGTAAAATATTTTGTTTCCCAAATATTGTATTATTTATCCAAACTTGAAAACTTCATTTTCAAGTTGAAAAGAAACAAAAAATGTGAAAGTACTACTTCAACATAAAGAAAAATGTTTTTCATAAAGAAAATGTTTTTCATAAAGATGGCTTTTCTATTTACACTTGCTGAACCCTCAAGATGCTTCACCACTATTATCCACAACTGAAAAGGGACAGCTTCAAGAAATTACCACCTACTACAAGTGATGACGAGTGCTGTCCTCCACCAATCAATCTAAAATTACTGATACTAACTCTGAGTTCTTGATAAAATATGTTTATTGGTAAACTTAAACCACATATTGAGAGGGAAGTCAGTGCCAAAAAGAAAGCCACATTTCAATTTCTACCTCCTGTACTGCTAAAAATTAAATGTCTGTAATTAACAGGAAGAGAAAAATAAATCCAACTATTTTTAACTTTTCAAGTCCCAAACACCTTTCCTGACTAATATTTAACACTTTTTTAAAATGTCATCTCTTACAGTAACTTTCTTATATATCAAGTAACAATTTTTATTGATTTAAAAGCTTGATGAGCATTGGTAAGATATTTAAACAATGTCACCATCACCTAATAATGTAAAATGGTGTAAGATTAGAACTAGAATCATTCCAGATTGGTAAATAAATGAAAAACATTCAAATACCTAAAGAGTTACAGCGTTCGATCTGATTGGAAACAGGCTGCAGTGACGCAAACCTAGAGTCAGGCCTGCAGCTCTTCAGTTTAACGAACAGTGCCTTCTTCAGGGCACAGGTGAAATACCGAGTGCCCTTAAAGGTTCCGTCTGTACAGCCAGCACATTCATCTTCCTGAAAGAGAAATGCCTTGACATGCATTACACTACACTTTGCAAAGATAGTATACACAGAACTAAGGTTTCTAGTTTACTCTTTCTCAGAATTCCCTCTTCACACTTGTACTGAGAACTACATTAAGAAAAAGGGGTTGGCTAAAAAGTGTTTCAGCCCACAGCTATTGATTTAAGAAATTAATTCTCTAATCCAGCAAGAAGTCTTCAATACATTTCCTTTCAGAACATATGCTTAAAGAAAAGAATCTATGCTTAAACCTTCCCTGGTTAACTTACTTTCTCACACCATTTCTATATGCATTAAAACTTGGGAGGAGGAAGCTATTTATTTTAACAACTCTTCCCTCCCCCATAGTTTTCACTACTATAGAAAAAGACAAAATAAAAAAAAAAGAAATATATTTAAATAAAAGTTAAATGTACCCAACTTCTCTTCTCCTGATTATGAAATGTCAAACAATATGCTTTCCTCATCTCCAAAGGGAAAATCTTTCCCTCTACTGAAGATCTCAAAAGATCTCTGAAAATGATGACTAATTTTAAAGCTAATGATATAACTATTAGTACCGACGACTTGAGGGAAGGAGGCTGAGAAGGAAAAAGAAAAACTGGTAACAGATTTGCTTTCATTACTAAATTCTGTTTAAAATAAGGAGCCTAAATATATTAGACTAAAAATCCACTTTCATTCTATGAACACAGATCAACTAACGTTAGAAACAAGTGTGTCAGAAGCCTCATGAGTAGCAAAGGCAACATGGCAATAAAATTTTTCTCTAGTGATGGCTTTTTGACAAATAGAAAAGTTTGCCAAAAAAACATATAATAGGGGAAAATCTGCACAAAACCCTTTATAGAAAAGAATTGCAATTTTTAAGTCAAATTAAATTACCAGTTCCAGTCCAGCTAGTACTTCATTGAGTCCTGGCGGCTGACCAATCCAACGGATCACCCCATAAAAAGGAGGATTATCTTTAACTTCGGCCAGTGAGCCCACTTCTAGGCCGTGTGAGTTACCAGAAGATATGGCCAAAGGCGGACTCTCCTGAACAGGCGTGTTGTTCAGCTCCCCCATCACAGACTGAGCTGACAGAGAGAGTGGGCTGTGGCCAATACTGCCATTGGTATTGGGCATCTTTGTCAGACTGAAAGGTAAAGAGTGAAATCTGTTCTCACTGGACAGTGAGTTCACAGAAGGAGGCTGTAGTGGTGGTGACGAATGGCCAAAGTCCGAAGATATCTCTGTAAGTGACTTTGCAGGGTCTTCTGCAACTATAAAAAATTAATCCTAATTAGAGAAATTGATTCAGGAATATTAAATATGCCTTACATCTTTAAAAATTAATATACAGACCTAGTCCAACTGCCCACTCAACCTCTCTACTAGGATTCTCAAAGGCACTACAAACTCAGTATTTCCAAAACAGCATTCTTACTTCTCCTCCCTTCCTTCAAATTTATCTATACCAGTAAATGGCACCCAATTGTTCAAATCAAAAAATCTATTAGTGATATGGTATGATATACATTATATTCTTTAAGTTAGAATTCAGTACAAAAAGATAGCAAAAGTTACATCTTACATGAAGCGTTTCTAAATAACCAATGGATCAAAGAAGAAATATAACTTTTAAAAATTAAAGAAAAAAGAGAGAAAGAGGACAGAGAGAGAAAAAGAAAACATTTGTAGAACACAGCTAAATTAATACTTATAAAGGAAATTTATATACTTAATAGTTTATTTTAGAAAAAAAAGAAAAGCTAAATATGAACTGAGCATAAACTTAAGAAGTTTGAAAAACAGAATACTCCCCAAAAGTAGAAAAGAACAAACAAAAGAACAGAAAGAGAAAACAAACATAGGTAAAGAAGCTTAAAGCTCAAAGAAACACAAAACAGAATATATTTAAGAGAAAACAAATATACAGTAAATAGAAACACAGCCAAAAGCTATTTCCTTAAAATGACTAATACAGCTGACAGATGAATGAGGAAAGAATGAACTTCTTACTGGTGTTGAGATAATCAGTTATCCATATGTTTAAAAATATTAAACTGGAATCCTATTCATGCTCTACACAAAAATCAGTTCCAAGTGACTTTAAAGCAAATGTGGCAGGAAAACTATAAACTTTTAGAAGACAATATAGAAGAATGTTCTTCAAGACTTCAGGGTAGAAATTTCTTAAACATAAGTATACAAATCATAAAGGGAAAAAGATTGATAAATATGACCACATTAATATTAAAAACTTGTTTATTAAAAGATATCACAGCAAGAGTGAAATCTGAGACACGAACTAGAAGAAAATATTTGCAATCCATATAGTTGACAAAGGATTCAAATTTAGAAAAGGTCTATAAATCAATAAGAAAAAGACAAAAAGAAAACTAGAAAAAACATAGACAAAGGACTTGAAAAGGCAATTCACAGAAGAAACCCAAATCACCAACAAATCAATGAAGGTATTCTTATGCTTATTAGCAAATAAATATATAAAGAAAAGCCCAAATTAACATGCGGTATCATTTCAAAAGTTAAAGGTCTAAGAACATTAACTGTTGGTAAGGATGAGGAGCAATAGATACCCTCATGCAATGCTGATGAGAAAGTGCTATAGACTGCATGTTTGTGCCCTCTACAACTCACATGTTGAAATCTAATTCCTAATGTGAAGGTATCTGCAGGTGAGGTCTTCAGGGGGTGATTACATCATAAAGGCGAAGCCCTCGTGAATGGGATTAGTGCCCTTATAAAAGGAGTCCCAGAGAACTCCCTTATCCCTTCCACTGTGTGACAGAACAGCAAAAAGATGGCCATCTATTAACCAGGAAGGGAGTCCTCACCAGACACCAAATCTGCAGGCACCCTGACCTTGGACTTCCCAACTTCCCAGAGGGAAGGAACCTCAACTGTGAAAAATAAGTTTCTGTTGTTTACCAGCCACCCAGTCTATAGTATTCTGCTATAGTAACTCAAACAGACTGAGACAGTGTAAAAACTGATATAACTACTTTGGGGAACAGTTTGACATTATTTAGTAAAGGAAAGATACCCATATCCTATGACCTAGTAATATCACTCCAAGTTATATACCCTAGATATGTATAAGACTGTCAATAGCAGAGATGTTAATAATAGCAGGAAAATGTAATCAAAACAATTCAAATGGCCACCAGTGGTCAAGTGGATAACTGGTATATTCACACCACAGAATACTACACAGCAATGAAAATGAATAAATTACTATCACGTACTGCAACCTAGATGAATCTTAGGAACATAATGTTGAGGGGAGAATTATGCAACAATCATACAATCTGTTTCCCTGTATATAAAGCTCAAAAAAGAACTATAAATATACTGTTTAGATATGCAAACTTAAGTGATAAAATTATAATGAAAAACAAAATAATGATAAAACATTAACCTAAAGATGATGGTAGCTCAAAGGAGACAATGAAGATAATGGGACTAGGAAGAGATAAACCAGGGAGTTTCAAAGGTAATGACAATGGTCTTTTTCTTAAAATGAGTAATGACTACATGAGTGCTTATTGTACTTTATACCTATTGTTCTTTACACCTTATCCATTTAAGATTCTTCAGTAATAACATTTAATCTAAATTTTTTTTTAATTATTCATTTCTTTCCCAAACCCTCAATCCCTCAGGCCCAACACCTGAATCCCTAAGCAAATTCTGTTTGTTCTATCTGAAACTCACCCATTTCTCTTACCCCTACTACCAGCATCTCCTAATCCAAGCCATCATCACCTTTTACCTTATACTTAGCCCCTTACCTCTATCCCCATTCTTGCTCCTCTCCAATCTGTTCATCATACAACTAGTAAAATCATTTTAAAATCTAAAGATCTTAGGTGATCATTATCATTTCCTATTTCAGAACCTTCTAATGGCTCTCCAGTATTCTTATAATAAGTACTAAATTTCTTACCCACACCTACAAGGTCCTGGACAATCCCGCTCCCAAATAGCTCTCTAAACTCATTTCATACACCTCTTTCCCTTTCCTACTATGCTACTGCCACCTGGCCTTCTTCCTATTTCTCAGATACGCTTTCTTGCTCAGGCCTTTGCCCTTACTATTTCCTCTGCTTCGATTGCTCTTGCCATGCTCTTTCCCTACAAATTCATTCTCATCATCCAGGTCTCAACCCAAATACCCTTTTCTCAAAGAGTCTTTTCCAAACCACCCTGTGGTAGGCAGCTTCTAGGTGCTACCACCCTCTTCACTTCCTTCACCGTGCATGTCACAATCGACTATTACCTTGTCTGTCTAAACATCTGTCTATCATATATACTATGAAACTAGAATATAAGCTTCACAAGAAAAGCAATTTTAGTTAGTCTTTTCCATGGCTAAATCTACGCCACTTGGTATCGCCACTAACACATACACACACACACACACACACACACAAACTTGTAAAATATTTGTTTTTAAAAAAAGTGAATAAATGAATCAAATATTGTACAGAAAAGTTTTTTAAATGTATAAGTGAAATTAACTATAAAAATAATGCTCTTTTACCACTAAATTAGTTCTATTTTCTAACTTAAGGATGAAGGCCTACTGCACACAAATGTCATCACTTTATACATTCCATATAGGTCGTTTAGGACCCATATCCCTTTCTGAAACTATTACGTAACATTAGACCAGAGTCTAGTGGAATCAAGAAGTCAGAAATATTCTACTACAATACAGAATCTGTAGTAAGAATAATAAATATAAAATTATAGCATAAACTTGAAGAACTAATGTTACCTCGATTATTAAAAAACCTGTAGTTTTACTAGATTCCTTTCCTTAGAAAGAATGAAGGCATGCAGAAGATAAAATCAAAGATCACTCACTCAAGTTATTTCCCACATGAGAATACTCCAACTCCTGTAACAGCAGATTTTTATTGTTACATTGGTGGGTAAGTATCTAACCCCAACTCACGAAGTAGCAGATTTTTATTGTTACATTGGTGGATGTATTTTAGCCTATAACTGAATCCACATGATAGCTTAAAAGTCATTCATAGAGTTCTACAGTACTCTTTTTTGGAGACAGAGTCTCACTCTATTGCCCAGGCTAAAGTGCCATGGCATCAGCCTAGCTCACAGCAACCTCAAACTCCTGGGCTCAAGTGATCCTCCTGCCTCGGCCTCCTGAGTAGCTGGGACTACAGGCATGTGCCACCATGCCCGGCTAATTTTTTCTATATATTTTTAGTTGGGCAATTAATTTGTTTCTATTTTTAGTAGAGACACAGTCTCGGTCTTGCTCGGCTGGTTTGGAACTTCTGACCTTGAGTGATCCGCCCACCTCAGCCTCCTAGAGTGCTACGATTATAGGCGTGAGCCACCACGACCAGCCCTATACAGTACTCTTAAATTTTTATTTTCACTTAGTTTGTACACAATTACTAAATCTACTACATGCTAAGCCCTATGCTAAGCACTAGGAATTCACAGTCCAGCAAAAGAGACAGCGAAGTATACAGAACAGTTATGATTACACTTAACCTAACCTAGAAGAAGTGAGAAAAGAAAGGAAAGGCTTTCTGGATAAATTAAAAAGCTGAGATTTAAGAAATGAATAAAAGTAAACCAGACTATGAAGCTGGAGGAACAGGAAGAAGGATTTCCAGGCAGCAGGAGCAACATGCATAGAAAGAGAAAGCACAGCACGTCCCAAGAATGGCCCCAGTCCAGTATGGCTGGAGCGGGGAGTGCAGGGGAAATGACAGAGATGAGTAAGAGGTCACACCATCAGGAGTCCATCATGCCAAAGTAAGGAATTTGGATTTCTATCTTCAGGGGCTAGGGAAACGTTAATAGGTATTAAGCAAAGGAGATACTTGAACACAGAGAGCTTAAGAAAACTCACTTCGATAGATATATGAAGAAAAACACATTGTGGTGATAAAAGTGTGAGCGCTGGTATCAAACAGATCTGGGTTGGAATACTGGCTCCACTACTGCTAGCTGTGTGACCTTGTACAAGTGATTCTACCACTGTAACAAAGGAGTATGTAAAAATATCTATCTGCCTCATAAAGTTATGAGGATAAGGTAAAATAAGGTATATAAAGTGCTTGGCAAGTGTACAGAGTGGTCACTAAGAGGCAGCTATAGTGATGACAATGGTGATTAAGAAGATAATGATGATCATGGTTATTATTGTTCAGAATAAATTCAAAAAGAACAAGACTGAGGCAGGGAAACCAATCAGAAGCCACCATATTAATCCAGACAGGAATAGGGATCTGAACTAAGGCTATGGGCAGATAACTTGGTGACAACTGGATGTGACCAATGAGACAGGGAGGGAGGGGGAGAGAGGGAGGGGGGCAGAGAGAGAGAAAGAGAGAGAACGTGCAGGATGAAGCCCAAACTTCTATTTTAGGCAGCTGGATTCACAGATCCATTTCCTCCACCCCACACTCTCAGCACACTCCTATCTGTGCTATGACAAAATTCCTCCACAAAAACAGAACTCACTAAGGTTAGTGGTGACTTCCAGGTGGCTAAATCTGATGGGCACTGTATGGTCATCATCTGACCTCCCTTTCGAGAGCATTCAGTACTAATATCCACTCGATCCTCAGCTTCTTGACCCAACAGTCTCTTGGTCTTCCCCACACCTCTCTGGTCACTTTCTCTCTCTGACTCTTTTAACAACTTACCTTCCTCCCACCCCAGCCATTAAGTTCCACAGGATCAGTCTTAACCCACACCCTCTGTCCCTACTCCATTTCTTAGGCAATATTATTCACAGGATTTTAATCACCACAAAAGTGAAGCCAACCTACACATTTATTTCTCTAGCTCTTACTTCTCTTCTAAGCTCTAGACCTGTACATCAACTGCCTACCTGACAAATCCCCTCTAGGAATTTTAAAAAGCCCATTCAACTCAACATTTTCCAAATCAAATCCATCTTCCTCCGCCACCATCTAAGTAGGCAAGCCAGAAAACCAGAAGTCAACACTGATATCTCTTTCTTCCTTAACACTCACTTCAAGTCTATCTGTAAGTTCAGTCAATGCATTTCCTAAATATCTCTTAAATCTATTCACTTCTCTCCATCTCTTCCCCAAATCTAGTCCCAGTTACTCTAATCTATTTCTGGGCCCCAAAACAGCCTCCAGTGGTGACCTTGCATTCACTCAGTCCCTGCTTCACCCCATTATCTTCCCTGCAGTGAGAATGATCTTTCCAAGAGGCAAACTTGGTCATGCCACCCCTTGCTAAAAATCCATCAGTGGCTCTGATTCCCCTTTTAATAGGGCAACTAGGCTCCACACAGGCTGGCCCTGTTTGCTTTTCCATTCTCATCACATAAAATGTTATGTCACTCTCTGTTCTAGTCCTCAGCCAACACCAGGTTCCATTCTTCCCTTTACATATGCTATTCCCTCTGCCTAAAAAGCTCTTCTGTCCCCTCTCTCTTTGTTACCTACCACTCCACTGGTAACCCTAAGTGCGTGTCACTTCCCAGGGAAACACCCTGAGCCCCTGAATAAAATCTTCTCTAGCATGTTCTCAGAGCTTCATGCACCTTCACTGCACTCATCACCAAGGCAATGCTACACCCGACTCTGTAACTAATTAATTTCTAGCTTAACAACTTGACTATAAACTCAAAAACAGCAAGGACCATGTCTATTTCTTCTCACCATTGTTATCTCGGTGCCTAAAAGAATGCCTGGCATATAGTAGGCACTCAATAAATATCTGTTGAACAGATGAATAAAAAAAGAGATTATACTAGAAGAAAATGATGCCCCAGAACCAAGGGAAAATAGTTTTTAAAAGGGGAGTGCTTTAAAAAGGGCAGGAAAGACCCAGACAGAAAAGTCCTTAAATTATTCAATTGATTCTAAAGATCTTCTGCCCTAAACAGATCAGTTAAGGGATGAGAACATGCTACTAATACATTTTTAAATGCTTTATTAATCTTAAAGCAGTACATTTCCAATTGTGTAAAATATTTTAGTTCACCAATATTATAAAAAAATGATCTACCCAATCTGTTTCCAAAAATGACAAATACTGGTGAAAAAGCCACTTTTTTCTGATGAGTTAAAAGAGAGGATCATTATAAAGAACATTAAAATTATAGATTACCTTCATCAATGTACCATGTATTTTTTGATTTGGATTGTTGTTGTGAGTCAACAGAAGACCCATTTAAGGTATAAAATAATTCAGATCTGTTTCTATTTCCAGGGTCTGAGGTAGATCCTATAGAATAAGAAAAGTTCCTTTTAAAAATAAAGTCAATATAGCATCAAATTTTTTAGTAAGATAAATTAATATGAATATAATGTTAACAACTGTTTACACAATCAATGGATATATAAAAATGCAATATATTTTATTATTGCCTTCACCTTTAAAAGGCTTTGTAAACATTTTGGCAATGTTAAAAACATTCTTCAACCCAAAAGTCAATATAGAGGGGGAACAGGAATAAGTTAAAGGAAAAGCTTGCTCATTTTTTAAAAAAAACATACTGCTTTAAGAAACTACTCCATGTATTATAGCTTATTTCTAAATGTCAAAATCATCATTCCCTAATTTTATTTGATGAACTCATTGGTTCACACATTAAACTTATTGTTTTAAAACAGCTCATTTCAGAAGAAGGTAATCTTCAAATTCTATATAAATACACAAATCAATGTACAAATTAAGTTCAAAAAGAGTTATGGTTTAAACATTTTGGAATTGTCTGGTCATTGAATTCCTTGCTTCATTTCCTCATGTCTTTGAAAAAGTAAAGCACTGTTATTTCTTATATATCATATTTGTTAAATGTAAGAGAGAGCTGGTGTAGCTATGTCACAGCTATTTCAAAATACTACCCCACGTTAGTATTAACTAGAGGACATGTCACAGTGGGGAGCAGTAGGGTCTCCAGACCCAAAAAAAGGTGATTTTTTTTTTTTTTTTTACATTTAAAGCAGGTAGCTCCATACTTACCTGTAACCAAGATCTGCTACCACACAACATCCATGTCTTAAGGAAATCTTTAGGCTATTTTTAGTTAAGTGAGAGTAGCAACTTTGAGGTATCCTATATAGATTTATAAGTTAACATAAAAAAAACTGGCCAGGCACAGTGGCTCAGGCCTGTAATCCTAGCACTCTGGGAGGCCGAGACAGGTGGACTGCTCGAGGTCAGGAGTTTGAGACCAGCCTGAGCAAGGGCTAGACCCCATCTCTACTAAAAGTAGAAAGAAATTAGTCAAACAACTAAAAATAGAAAAAATTAACTGGGGCCAGGCGCAGTGGTTCACGCCTTTAATCCTAGCACTCTGGGAGGCCAAGGCGGGTGGATTGCTCAAGGTCAGGAGTTCGAAACCTGCCTGAGCAAGAGCGAGACCCCGTCTCTACTAAAAAAATAGAAAGAAACTAATTGACCAACTAACATATATATACAAAAAATTAGCCGGGCATGGTGGCACATGCCTGTAGCCCCAGCTACTCGGGAGGCTGAGGCAGTAGGAGTGCTTGAGCCCAGAAGTTTGAGGTTGCTGTGAGCTAGGCTGACGCCACGGCACTCTAGCCGGGACAACAGAGTAAGACTCTGTATCAAAAACAAAACAAAACAAAAAAAACATAAAAAAAAATATTACCTATATATCCTGCAATTAGTCCTAAGTCTCCCAGGGCCCAATGTCACATAAAATAATTCTTAAAGTACAATTTCATTTTAAATGAAACCAAATAGTTTTATTTACTAGATAATTGAAGAAAAAACACTCTTCTCCTAACCCACAAGTAAGTTAACAATAATTCTTATGGCTTATTAAATGAGCTGTTTGGCTGGTAAAACCACCATCCCATAAATTTATGAAGTATGTGGAAGCTAATTAAAAAAACCTATGAACTCCACATGTATTGTGAGGAAGCTTCTGGAAAAAAGACAAAAAATTTTGCTTAGCAGTTTGGAAGTTAATTTGTGCCGCATCTAGTTAGCAAAACCACATAATTAATCTCTAAGATATTTTATCCTATCTAATGTTATCCATATAGGATTATTTTATATAGTTGTAATAGAAAAAGCAGCTGATTATGGACAAGCAAAATATACAGGTCCTCATGGGAAACTTTTCATCAGGTAAAAAAGGTTGGGAACTTTAGGCTTAAAGGACATAAAAATGTCTGCAAGGAGAAAGTCCACATATATGTTAAGGAATAATAACTTATAACCTTTTAATGCTATTGCAAGTCAGATGTCATGTAAATTACTAAGGATTATATCCTATTAATCCATACCTGTAGCCTTTGGTTTATTATGACTGGATGAACCTTTGTCCCCAACACCTCTTGACATAAAGGCAAGTTTGGGAGGCCTCCTTTCTTGTGTCACGCTATCTGAAACAGTAAACATGCTTTTTAAAGATAAAAGTAAATTCCTACAGAAGAGAAACAATCAAGAAAACAAGGACTATAATGGGGGAAAAAAACTCCTTCCAAAAAGAAAGTAGAATTTTTACGGTTTTACAAATTCTTTTTAAAAGCTATCAAAAGCACTGAAAGAGATAATACCATGCAGGTGAAAAAATTAATGCTATACTTCAAAATGTAATTTCTACAAAAAAAAATACACTCCCAAAATACAATTCAGCTAAATGCTTTAAACTCTTAAAATTTAAGAGTTTAAAGCATTTAACATTAAAATTTTAATTACTATAGTCAATTTTACTAGAACACTACAAAGGAAACCTTACTCATAACTTTTTTTCAGCATTTCCCAAATCAGAATGCCAGAAATACCCTATATTATGAAGTGTTCCACGCTCAAATATTTCTTGAGATAAGCAAAAATAAACAACTTCTTTACTGTATGAAATCAGAACCTTTAATAAGCTAATGTGTATTCTGAATCTCTCAAGGAGGAATAAACTTATTTGGTAACATTTTTGTGCCACTCTACTTAGTATCTCAACTTAATATATTTCATGGAACACAGTTTGAAAAAAGTCTGGTTAGGAATACGTATCATGGTTAAGAATGTTGTGGTTAAGAATATGTATCTGTTTTTAAAAACATATATATGTTAAGAATAACACAGATGACAATATAAACACTTATGCAGAAAACAGGAAAAATACAGAGACTTATACATAGATTAAAAATGCAGAAAGTGAAAGACATAAAACAATATATTTGAAGAAAACACTCAAAACATCTTTTTGAAATACAGGTGTAATAAATTTGACAAACTTGTTTTCAAAACAAAGACCACCCAACCTTAAAGCGCAGTAATGTTGATAAGATACTCATAAATACTGATCAAGTAAATGTAAAAGAGTCAGTGCGGAAAGTTTTTCCTTTGAAAAGTTCAACAACACATCCGTAGAGTCCAACGTGACACTTAGGAGTCATACCTGATAAAGCTGTGTATCAGCAAAACGATATCACCCAGTGGATTTTTGAGGACAGAAAGAAAGAAATAGGAGAATTTTTATATATTAAACACAAGGAAAACACCATTTTAAAAAAAGGAAATCATACTGAATTAATTATATGGAAATGATGCTTGGTAACTTTTTTCCATGGTTGGAAGAGGAGGTAATATATTATCGAACTATATCTTAAATGTCTCAGAATATGATCAAATAGAATATGAAAATACTCTTTTAACTCAAAAAGTATACTGATTAACCATGATTGTAACCAAGTGATACAGTAAAAGAAAAGCTATTTACTAAAACAGTAGTCCTGTCTTATCCACACCTTCACTTTCCATAGTCTCAGTTACCCATAGTAAACCATGGTCCAAAAATATTAAATGGAAAATTCTAGGAATAAACAATTCATAAGTTTTAAGTTGCATGCTCTTCTGAGTAATGCAATGAAAGCTCACACCATTGAGCTCTGCCCCACCCAGGACATGAACCATCCCTTTGTCCAATGTCTACACTGCATACACTCCCCACCTGTTAGTCACTTAGTAGCCACTTCGGTTATCAGATCAACTGTTGTGTTATCACAGTGCTTATGTTTGAGTCACCCTATTTTACTTAATAGCCCCAAAGTGCATGAGTAGTAACGCTGCCATATTGTTATAATTTTTCCATTTTATTATTATTGTTGATCTCTTACTGTACCTACTTTATAAACTAAACTTTATTATAGGTATATACATATAGGAAAAAAAAACATATATAGGGTTTGGTTCTCGCCACAGTTTCAGGTATCCAATAGGGATCTTGGAAGTACCCCCGTAGACAAGGGGGGACTACTATATTTTTAGGATGTTACCATTCAGATATCTTTAAATATCACCTATGACAACTACTGCAGAAGGAAAATCTTTTTAATCACTGGGGAAAGTTCCCAAATTATAGTATATAAATTGACTAAAGAAAAATAATTCCTACTATTAACTGTAATTAACTGTATAAAGCTCCACTTAAAAAAAAGATATTAACATGTATACCACAATATATATACATTATACAGTTAGTAGCCATCATAACAAATGTGGCAAATGGTCTTCCTTTTGTTAGGCTATTAAGGCACCCTAGCAATACTGAAGGGCCAAACAGATGAGGCAGTGGTGACAGCTCTGCTGGTGACAGTTCTGCTGGTAAGCCCTTATGGGGAGGGCTCCAAAGATTAGAAACGTGAGCTGGAGGGCACTGGAGTAGGACATTGTAGTAACCTTCTGCCAAAGACTGTCTGAGAGGGGGTCAAATGTAAACTTTAAGGAATAAGACATTCCAACAGAACTCTATGTAGATAAAGGGTCACATACCACATCTAACTCCCTCCACCAATTATATACCAAATATTTCTTGTTACTTTGTCACAACTATGGTTCATGATCCCAAACCTCTTGAGCCATGAAGCAAAGCCTTCTAATTTAAATGAATTTTAAGAGACTACAACTCAGGAAAAGTTATGGGAAATATGGGATAGTAAACAAGGTAAGGAATAAATTTCAGTAGATAATTTTGTGAAACTAAAACAATCCTGATTAAAGATATTGAAAGAGCAAGAAATAGCTACCAAACAACATGTACAAAATGTACACAACAGCCCTATTCATAACAACCAAAATCTAGAAACAATCCATTCTACAGAAGAATGGATAAACAAATTGTGGTCTATTCATATGATGGAATACTGTATAGCAATAAAAAGGAATAAACTACTGACATACAGCACAAAATGGACACTGTGTTGAACAACAGAAACAAGATCAAAAGTATCCATTATATATGTACAGCAAGATTGCATTCAAATGATAAAAATTTGCGTTATGACAAGTAAAAGAATGATAAAATTAATAGCTTATCTGTCTCTCCTATTGATTTAATCAGAAAAAGAAAATCCCTTGAAGAATCTTGAGCTGAAAATCATAGCAATAAATAAGTGAACAAGTTATTGTTCAAAACAAATGTCTATGAATTGGAATGGGAAGATGGAATAAATATACTTTTCCCTATTTCTCCTGCTAAGTACAACTAAAAGCTCTGGACATAACATATAAAACAAACATTAGAAGACTCTGAAAGGTGGAGAGAAGGTGGATTTGCTAGGAACCTCAAGACCTAAGAAATGACACAGTGGATATTTCTCTGGGTTTTCTTCTTGCCTAAGTTCTTATCCCAGACTTAGAGCTGAAGAAGTCAACAACCCAGGAACATTGATGGATACAGACAAAAGAAAGTCCCAACAAAACTGAAAGACACCAATTCTCCCTAAAGTTATATATAGGTTTAATGCAATTCCTATCAAAATCCCAACAAGATTCTGAGTATATGTACATAGGATTATTCTAAAATAAATATGGAGAGGCAAAAGATCTAGAATAGCTAAAATAATTTTGGAAAAGAAGAATAAAGTAGGAAGGATATGTTTACCTGATTACAAACTTACTATTAATATTTAGCTACAGTTTTTGAGATTGTGGTATTGGCCATGGGATAGACTCACAGATCAATGGAACACAATGGAGAATCAAGAAACAGACCCACACAATATGCCCAACTGATTTTTGACAAAGGTACAAAAGCAATACAATGGAAGAAAGTCTTTTCAACAAATGGTGCTGGAGCAATTAGAATACATAGGTTTAAAAAAGAAGATCTATTTAAGTCTCACATCTTATAAAAATTAACTCCAAATGGATCATGTACTTAAATGTAAAAATGTATAAGAGAATGAGGATGTGAAGAAATTAGAACTTTCATACATTGCTGGTAAAAATGTAAATGGTGCAGCTGCTTTGGAAAACAGTTCGGCAGTTCTCTGAATAACTAATCATAGAGTTGCTGTATGACCCAGCAATTCCACTCCTAGGCATATACCCAACAGAACCAAAAACATACGTCCACAGAAAAACCTGTACATGAATGTTCATGGCGGCATTTTTTGTAATAGTCAAAAACTAGAAACAATCTAAATGCTCATCAACTGATAAATAAACAAAATATGGTATATCCATTTACTGAAATATTATTCAGCCATATAAAGGACTAGAGTACTGATGCATGCTACAACATGGATGAACCTTGAAAAGATTATGCTTAAGTAAAGGAGGTCAGACACAAAGGGCCACATATTTTCTAATTCCATTTATATGAAATGTTCCAAATAGGCAAACCTATAGAGACAGAGAGCAGACTGCCAGGGCTGAAGGCAGGAGGCTATGGGGAGTCACTGTTTGATGGGTACAGGGCTCCCATTTGGGAGGATGAAAAGTTCTGGGACTAGATAGCAATGATGGCTGCACATTATAAACACTGAGTATCACTGAATTATATACTTTAAAAGAGCAAATATAATGGTATGTGAATTATATTTCAATTTTTAAAAGCTTAGGAGAAAATCTTCCATATCTAGAGCTAAATAAAAATTATTTGACTTGATGCCAAAAGCATGATCCATAAAAGGAAAATTTTATAAACTGGACTTCATAAAATCAAAATCTATTGCTCTGTGAAAGATTCTATTAAGAGGATGAAAAGATAAGCTACAAACTAGGAGAAAATATGTGCAAACCACATGCCCAACTAGTCCAATACTAGGACTAGTATCTAGAATACATAAGGAATTCTCAAGACTCAACAGTAAAAAAGCACATGATCCAATTAGAACCTGGGTAAAGGAGATGAAGACACCTTTCACTCAAGAAGATATAAAGATGGCAATAAGCATATGAAAAGATGTTCAACATCATGAGCCATCAGGCAAACTCACATTAGAATCACAATGAGATATCACCGCAAACCTCTTAGAATGGCTAAATAGTACCAACCAATTAAAAATAGTAACAATACCAAATGCTGGTGAGGATGTAGAGAAACTGAATTACTCATATATTGCTGATGGTCAAGAAAAATGTATAGTCACTCCAGAAAAAAGTTTAGCAGTTTCTTAAGAAACCAAACATGCAGATATCATACAACCAGCATGTACACACCTGGACAATTATGTCAGAAAAATAAAGATTCATGTTCACTCAAAAATCTGTACACAAATGTTTATAAAAGCATTATTCATGATAGCCAAAAACTGAAAATAAACCAGATGTCCTTCAATAAGTAAACTGTTAAATAAAATTGGAATATCCATAATATAGAATATTACTCAGTAATGTAAAGGAACAAACCATTGATATACACAAAAATATGGATAAATCTCCAGAGAGTTACACTGAGTGAAAAAAGGCCAATCTCAAAAGGTTACATATTGTACAATTCCATTTATGTAACACTTTGAAATGAAAAAACTATAGAAATGGAGAGCAGATTAGTGGTTGTCAGAGGTTAAGGATGGGTGCGAGTGGGAGGGAATTAGTATGGCAATACGAGGGCAACATAAGGGATCCTGGTGGTAATGGGAACATTCTGTATCTTGACCATATCCATGTCAACAACCTGGCTGTGATACTGTACTACAGTTTCACAAGATGTTATCACTGGGACAAACTGGCTAAAGAGTATATAGGATCTCTCTCTCTCTGCATATGAATCTACAATAATCTCAAATATCTGCAAATCATATATCTGATAAAGGGCTTGTATTCAGGAAGCTATACAGATGACAAATAAGCCCATGAAAAGATGTTCAATACCATTGCTCATCAGTGAAATGCAAATTAAAACCACAATTAGCTACTACTACAGCTAAAATTTAAAAGACTGACCATACCAAGTGTTGGCAAGGACATAGAAGAATTGTAACTCTCATATTCTGCACCTGGGAATGTAAAATAGTGCAACAACTTTGGAAAGACAGTTTGGCAGGTTTTGGGTTTATGTATAAGTTACATGATCACCTACAATAGTACCAGCCATTCCACACCTAGGTATGCACACAAGAAAAGCATATGTCTATACAAAGATTTGTGCATCAATTTTCATAGCCATAAAATGGAATACTT